ATCTGAACTCTTCATATATAAATTGATTTTTATTTACTCAATCAATTCAGTTTGACACTTTTTTTCAATGGCCAAAACTGTCCCAATCCCTCTGAATTCTCCCTATATAGTAAAACAAGATAAATGCGTCATATATAGTACATCTATCTTTATATACAAGTAATTTCTGTTTTAAAAAGATAGCCATGAATGTTTTTTAGCAGATTGTCCTTTAATTCAGTGTTGAACTGTCATAAACAGCTTTCCGTATGAGTAACCCTCGGTGTTTCCTCGGTTGTGTTGCAGAGGTGGAGAAGTGAGGAGGACAAACCCGTGCTGGGCAGCTGCCCTCCGCTCAACGTGGCACAGAACATGGACACATGTCGTGTCCGCAAGGACGACGAGGATCTGAGCAATTACCTGGACCTGGAGTTTATCCTGGCCAACACGACGGGACCTCTCGAGGCAGGAGCCGAATACGTGTCTCACGCGGAGCCGTGCGGCCTGTACTCGACGGGAGCGTACGCGTCTCCGGATCCTCCTCCGTACGGGAACAGCCTCATGGCCGAGCTCCTGAGATCCGACGTGGATCACGGCGCATACGACGCCACCATTCAGGGACGATTCGTCATCAACCCCACCGGGTTCCCCAGACAGGACTTTGTTGATATCAAAGTGGAGCCGCCGATGGACGGTTACGGGCCGGTGATGGGAATGGTGCCGCAAAGCTGCCAAAAAATCAAACAAGAGGGCAACGTTTCATGCATGATGTCTTTCGAGCAACCCAGACTGGCCGTTTCTCCGCAGGCGGCGGGGAACATGACGCCCCCGCTGAGTCCGGAAGACTCCCACCTGAGGCAGTCCGTGTTTCCTCAGGGTTACCATCACTCGCCGGCGACCTACGCTCAAATGCAACTCCCCTACACGGCGCCGCACCAGTTCGGCATGTTCGACGAGCCCATCGGGATGCAACCCAACATGCAACGGGCTCTCCTGACTCCGCCGTCCTCCCCGCTGGAGCTGCTGGAGTCCAAACCCAAGCGAGGACGACGCACCTGGCCGCGGAAGCGCACCGCGACGCACACCTGCACCTTCGCCGGCTGCGGGAAGACGTACACCAAGAGCTCGCACCTGAAGGCACATCACCGAACACACACCGGTAAGAGCGTGTACGAGTGACCGCTAGTGGTCGAAAGCGGTACTGCGGTCCAAACTCAAAATTTTAGAGAACGTTGTTTTTCCCGAAAACCAAAAAAAAATTGGCAACTAAACGCACATGCAAACATATTACGCTATTTTTCATGCTTTAGTAGAGCGAATAAAGCACCTAAATGTGACCCTTCCGCTTTGTTTCATCAGGTGAGAAACCGTACCACTGCAACTGGGAGGGATGCGGCTGGAAATTCGCCCGTTCCGACGAGCTGACGCGTCATTTCCGGAAACACACGGGCCACCGTCCGTTCCAGTGCCATCTGTGCGAGCGCGCCTTCTCCCGCTCGGACCACCTGGCCCTGCATATGAAGAGACACCTGTGAGGACTGGATCCACAAACACACACCTGCCTTATTTAATGACTTTAAGACGATCGTTGTCCGTAAAGATATATATATATATATATATCATGCTTTTGTAACAAAGTAGCTGGTACTACATAGATCTTTCTGGGTAAAACCAAGTATCCTGAAGGGCTGGTCCTATGAATCTGTGTGTATGTTTAACAGTGCCTTTCTGAAGCCACGAAGAGTGCAAAAGCCTGACGACTAGCAAACAAACCTCCAGTGGAAAATGCACGATGACAATGTTTTGCGCTTGAAACTGCCTTGATTGCGTGTGTACCTTCTTTTCAAACGTTGGTGACACTTCACAATTAGTTGATGCAGTAACGCTCTGACTGTCCATATTTGACCCAAAGTTGTTGGGTTAAAACAACCCAGCATTTTTAGAGTGAAAAACAAACACGTTCAGCTGGTTTATCGTGAAGCGTTGCCCGACCTGTTGTACACTAGCACCTAGGGCTTGAAGTCCTGGCTTTTTATAAGATTGTGTATATACATTTTATATTGAAAGTACTGTATTTATTGTAAATATTAAACTAAATTTGAATATATGCATGTGTCATTGCCTGTCGTGTTCAGTCTGACCGGTCGCGAGTCTCTTTGAAGCGACGATGCACGAGCGCTATTCCTGAACCCCCACTCAAGCTTGTATTATAGTTTAGACCAAGATGCTTTCCAGCTGCGTCAGGTTGAGGCCAGCAGCCTGTGGCTTCTGCCTATAAATACAAACACTACATTTACATAATTACAGAGAGAGAATTTAGATCCGTCTGGACGGAGGGGCGCTCGCTCTCTGCTGAAGATCCCAGACTCCAGAGACACGGAAAACACACACACACACACACACACACACGCACATCAAAGAGACTCCACTGGGGCTTTGATGTCCAACGTGGACGATGGAATACTAAAATCTGCGTATTTCATACAAATATTTGTTCAGGGATGGAAAGACTGCACTGTAATCTGTAATCGCAACATTTTTTAAATAATTAATGTGGTTCAGATAACATAATATTTTGAGTTTCTGATGATTAAATCAATCTCCAACTCAATTTTTTCCATTTTAATGAACTTAAAAGTTTAAGGCAACCAGGTTACTTCATTTTTTTTTTTAAGTTAAACCAACAATATTTTTTTTTTTTACAGTGTGGAGATTTACAAAGAAAAATGCATTTATTTATATAAACAGAACTGGTCAGAAGTTTAGACACGCCTACTCGTGGTTTATTATTGCTATTTTTATTATTATTTTAGAACAAAGAAAAATAGAGATGTTTATAAATATTTTAGATATGGTGCAATTCACTATTATGAAATAAAAAAATTAACATGTTATATAATAAAATATTCAATTATACAGCATGTGCATGCAAAATGTATGTTTATATATTAAAATTGAATGCGATATATATATATGAAGAGTTCAGATGCAAAAGCCTCTAAGTGCCATTTGAAATTTTCTTCTAAAATGATCATTTTTTATCAAGCTTGTATATTTAAGTTCAGTAATTTCACTTAAATGGCAATGAAGATTACCTATTAATTGTTATTTAAGTGAAATTACTGAACTTAAATATACAAGCTTGATAAAAATGGTCATTTTAGAAGAAAATTTCAAATGGCATTTAGAGGCTTTTGCATCTGAACTCTTCAATATATATATATATATATATTAAAATGTAATCAAATTTAATCAATGTGTTAAATATGATCTGCATACTAAATATATTAAAGTAAATTGCTTGTTTTGATCTGCATGTGTGATATGGATATAAATATGCATCAGATGCATCAAATAATATATATATATATATATATATATATATATATATACACACACACAACAATGCTGGGTGATTTCAACCCAACTTTTGGGTCAAATATGGACAAACCCAGTTAAAAAACTGTACTTTTTTAAATTAAATTTTTTATGTATATATAGAGTCTATATATAGAGTTTATGTATATATATATATATATATATATATACATAAACTCTAAACAATGCTGGGTGATTTCAACCCAACATTTGGGTCAAATATGGACAAACCCAAATGTTGGGTTAAAAATGTCATTTAAAATCTTCAACTTTCACTTTCAACTGTAAATTTTTTAATTACATTTTTAAACCAACATTTGGGTTTCTCCATATTTGACCCAAATTTGGGTTAAAAAAAACCCAGCATTGTTCAGAGTGCATACATCACTTCACAGATGGATCAAAAACAAGCAATTTACTTTAATATAATGAAAATGCTATATAATATAAACAATAAAAATAAAACCAACACATCATATATATACATACATACACACATAAAAAAAATTTACAGCTGAAAGTTTTTAAATTACATTTTTAACCCAACATTTGGGTTTGTCCATATTTGACCCAAATTTTGGGTTGAAACAACCCAGCATTGTTTAGAGTGCATATATCACATATATATGTAATTACTTTAATATAATGAAAATGCTCTATAATATAAACAATAAAAATAAAACCAATGCATCATATATACATATTCTAAGAGTTGTACTTGTTCTGCATGAGAGGGTAATGTGTAAAAACAAAATAACAGGTTCCCTTTTACGCAAATTCAAGAGAAAAAGAAGAAACGTGATCCTGACTATTATTAGCCGACTCGGTGAACTGAAGCAGAAATCTCATTTCACTTTTATGCGCTGATGATAGTAACTATTACTACCAATCTGACACGAACAGAAAATAAGCTTCTCTTTTTTTCCTCCTTTAAAGCAAAACAAATATAAAGGACTGTGTGTTTACTGTACTTAACAGATTTCAAAGTCTATCTATTAAAGATGAGATATTCTCCCAAACTATTTAACAAAATCATGCAATGACACGTTTTAAAAATAGTGATTTTGAACTTTAAATTCACCACTCAGCACTAAAACCACACTAGACGAGTGTGTCTGAATGAAGCGCACGTGTGGATGGTTAAGTAGGTGAAGGAAGAAAAACACAAATGAGGAAAGAGCCGAAGCCTTGTGTTTCGGTCACCTGAGCCCTTCTCATTTGTCCATCTTAACATCAGCACTTTCAGTAAATACAAACTCGCACAGGAATTTCCTGTTATTCCAAATGGGGGTAATTAACATACCGAGGCTAAAATTCATGCAGCTGTTCAATTATTTTCACACTTAGATCTCAATCTTTTCCAAGGCCTCCATTTGAGTCCGGCTCGAGCTCGGACTTCATTCTTCCAGCTTGTGTTACTCGACGGATCCAGGAAAAACAGCAAGTCGTTCACAGAGCATTTGCGAAACACAAAGGTCTGATGGACGCACACGAGCGGGATGAAAAAGAGCTCGTCCATCACAGCAGGACACGTGCGTTAGTGATCGTTCACCAACCCAGATATGAAGCGTGATCTCTCAATCCGTCTCGGACGGCAAACGCCCAAGTCGTTTTTATATATACAGTACACATGGGAAGCAATGGCTTTTTTAGTCCAAAATTTTAGTTTACCATTTATTAAACATGTTTAATATTTATAAAACACATTGTGAAAATTATTTCTAGCCCTTTTCCACAATAGAAACAAAACAAAAACCATCAAAACCATGTAAACACCCAAATTTACTTCTTTACTTCATTCAAACAATCCACAACCTGCTGATTTTAGTGTCTAGTATCACAGATGCAATAAATACATAAGAATGAGCTCAATATACAGTATAATGCTTCAATGTGCTTCTTCAACAAAAAAAGGCTTCAAACTAAATCAACGTAGGCAGTGATTTGGCGGATAAAGGGTTAAACACAAACTCACTCTCATATAAATATAAATATAGCAAAACCCCAATAACAAGCAGCACGGCAGATCCCTTCCTTCAAAAGTGCAGAACATGCTTCATTTGATCTTGATGCATAATATTAAGGATGTGTTGGGAGTGCAAAACACGGACATTATATATGATCATATGGTGCACGTCACGGGTTCGGTAATTTAGCAAACATCACATCGCGACGGTTTCTGTGTGGATGAAGCTGATCGTAATCGAAAAGGTCAGTGAGATATAAAGCACTTGATACGTATTACGATACTGATGATGTGCATAAGTAAATGCGTCCTGCTAGTCCCACAGGATTTGGTAAAGCTAGCTGTATATAATCTCACTTCATTGGTCCGGCGTTGCTCAATGGTTGATGTGTTCTCATGTTCTGGGCACTTCAGCTCGACTGAGGGCGAGGGCCAGTTCCAGGTCTTGTTGTTCCTGTAGTTGAAGTCTCCTCCTCCGCTCCGCCTCCTCTCTCTGGCTCTCGCGTTTGGCCCACTCCAGCTGCTGGGTCTCACTTCCGAACTGAACCGGGAAACAAACGTCATTACAGAAGATACAATTCATCACATAGGAGAACGCGTCACTGTAGGGCTGGGCGAGATATCTCGAAATTGACATATAGATTGACGTTTTCAGCACGTACGATCTCCAGAGTGTTTTAAAACATTTGCGTTTAACAGTCACACTCGGGGCCTTCGGGTCAGGGCGGGATTCATATTTAAAAAAGAAAATCATAATTTTTTTTTTACTTGTTTTTTTTTAATAATATTTTTTCTTTTCTTTTTTTGGTGTTTTAAGAAAATTAAAAAAAATTAAAAAAAAAAAATTATAATTAGTATTAATGCAATAATTATGACCGAATTTTCCCCCATTGAATATAATAGAAAAAACATATATAATATAATAGAAAATAGAAAAAAAAAAAATTAAAAAAAAATTATAATTAGTATTAATGCAATAATTATGACCGAATTTTCCCCCATTGAATATAATAGAAAAAAATATTTTTTAAGCTGTATTTCATTTTGGAGTCAAGCCTAGGCCTCATAAAAGCAATTTTTGAAATTAGATGGATGCCATTTCGTGGACAAACTGAGCTTTTTAAAAATGCAAAACGCATATAATCTGAATTTTTTGGTGTGTGTGTGTGGATGTGTCTGTTTTGTACTCTTAATGTTTTATAGATTCACCCCTTCACTGTTGTGTGCTTTTTTTTCCAAGATCGTTGCTGATTTGTAGATTGTACGCACAAAAAAACTTAGTATTTTCACATTTTTGCCAATTTCCCATTCATTTCCTATGCGGGTCATTTTTGACCCGAAGGTCCTGAGTGTGACTATTTTTTTTACGACCACTTAGACTTTTAAAATCCTGTCCCCAATTTTTTGGGGGTGTTTATATACCAAGTACCATTAAAGTCACCAAGTTTCGGACCATTCTGACATTTTTTTTTATTTAAACGCTTCGGTCATTATTGACCCGAAGAACCCCAGAAGGTTAATCGAACAAAAATAGGTAAAATAATCAAGATGTGTTTACAAACTTATGGTGCGTTCTATTATTGATTGATTATTATATTATTCAAAATAATAATAATTGTTATCATAGTATTCATGATGTTGCTTGATTTTATACCGCCAGTAAAAGCATTATGAATATATTGTGACTATTGAATATATCGCCCAGTCCTAAAAATCACTCATTTCAAATGAGCACAAGTAATTTGCGCACAATTATGCATGATCCAATCCGTGATTTTATTCTTTTTAATTGGTCAGAAAGCAGTGTGAGGATCATTATTTGATTGAAAGCAAAGAAACCAAAGCTGTGAAGCCTTTGGTTACCATCAAATGCAAGTTACCAGTGACCCAACACACAGTGAATGAAGTCAAATCCTCATTTCTAAATAACACAGAATTAGAGGAAATATAAAGAGGGCTTAGAAGTATGAAAACTATTTCAATATCAAATCAAGTCACTTTATAACTAAAAGTCATCAAAATCATTTCTAAAGTAAATCAACATTTATTTTAGGGTAAAAAAGCACTAATAATACGTGATCTAATGCAATGGCATTTTAAGTGTAATATCAGTGTCTAAACACTTCATGAAGGTGCTTTGTGTAAGAAAACAATGCCTATGGCTTTCTCACTGTGATTGGACTACTGGTCTTACATTTGCTGCTGATGTTTTCTAGGGTTTCGGTATGTGGTCTGATTTCTCAGGGTGATTTGTGAAGGGATGTGTGTGCACGCAGGGTGGAGTAGGTGTTTAATGGTTGAGACAAGCACATGCAGAGCACTCAGATGTGGTCAAAAGACCTGCGTTTCACCTTACCTTCATGTTTTCAGTGCCTGGGAGAAAGACAAATTACAGCACAGATCTAAACAAGCACGGCAAACACAACACAAAGCCTCATGCAACATGCAAAACTGCATCTGCACTGCATGCCATGGCACAGCACACACAGCTAGCAGAGCAAAGATGTGGTTTCAGGTCAGTTGAGCCACTTGTGGCATGACCTGGATTTGTGCACCTACTATGCTTTTTCAGTGTGTAAAAAAGCTGGAAAGTTTTAAAGGTCAAAGTGCATTACAAATAAAGCTATTGTGTCCTAAAAGAAAGACTTGATTTTGAACTGTTGAAGGGAGTCATCAGCACTTCTGTCACATTCCTAATTAACGTGACAAATTTGTATAATTCCAGCCTATGATCTTCATTGGCTGCCTGTGAACGATGTCGTCTTTGCCCCGCCCTCAAACACTGTAGACGTAACTGAGACTGGAAGAGTTTGGTTCATGTTGTTGACGTGTCGGGGAATCGCTGTGAATCCTCTTTGATGGGCTTGTAATGGATGAGGACTTGATAGAGTAAAAGCGTTACTGTTCGTATCACTGTGTATCAAGAGCCGAGGAACAGCCGAAATTGAGATATGCTAATAGGCGTTTCTGACACTGTAAATGGTCGACCAGACTGGGCCATCTGACCAATCAGAGCAGAGTAGACCAATCACTACAGAGTGGGCCATCTGACCAATCAGAGCAGAGTAGACCAATCACTACAGACTGGGCCATCTGACCAATCAGAGCAGAGTAGACCAATCACTACAGACTGGACCATCTGACCAATCAGAGCAGAGTAGACCAATCACAACAGACTGGGCCATCTGACCAATCAGAGCAGAGTAGACCAATCACTACAGACTGGGCCATCTGACCAATCAGAGCAGAGTAGACCAATCACAACAGACTGGACCATCTGACCAATCAGAGCAGAGTAGATTAATCACTACAGAGTGGTCCATCTGACCAATCAGAGCAGGGTAGATTAATCACTACAGACTGGGCCATCTGACCAATCAGAGCAGAGTAGACCAATCACTACAGACTGGACCATCTGACCAATCAGAGCAGAGTAGACCAATCACTACAGACTGGACCATCTGACCAATCAGAGCAGAGTAGATTAATCACTACAGAGTGGTCCATCTGACCAATCAGAGCAGAGTAGATCAATCACTACAGACTGGGCCATCTGACCAATCAGAGCAGAGTAGACCAATCACAACAGACTGGGCCATCTGACCAATCAGAGCAGAGTAGACCAATCACTACAGACTGGACCATCTGACCAATCAGAGCAGAGTAGACCAATCACAACAGACTGGGCCATCTGACCAATCAGAGCAGAGTAGACCAATCACTACAGACTGGACCATCTGACCAATCAGAGCAGAGTAGACCAATCACAACAGACTGGGCCATCTGACCAATCAGAGCAGAGTAGATCAATCACTACAGAGTGGTCCATCTGACCAATCAGAGCAGAGTAGATCAATCACTACAGAGTGGTCCATCTGACCAATCAGAGCAGAGTAGATTAATCACTACAGAGTGGTCCATCTGACCAATCAGAGCAGAGTAGACCAATCACTACAGACTGGGCCATCTGACCAATCAGAGCAGAGTAGATTAATCACTACAGAGTGGTCCATCTGACCAATCAGAGCAGAGTAGACCAATCACAACAGACTGGGCCATCTGACCAATCAGAGCAGAGTAGACCAATCACTACAGACTGGACCATCTGACCAATCAGAGCAGAGTAGATCAATCACTACAGACTGGACCATCTGACCAATCAGAGCAGAGTAGATTAATCACTACAGAGTGGTCCATCTGACCAATCAGAGCAGAGTAGACCAATCACAACAGACTGGGCCATCTGACCAATCAGAGCAGAGTAGATCAATCACTACAGACTGGACCATCTGACCAATCAGAGCAGAGTAGACCAGTCACAACAGACTGGGCCATCTGACCAATCAGAGCAGAGTAGACCAATCACAACAGACTGGGCCATCTGACCAATCAGAGCAGAGTAGACCAATCACAACAGACTGGGCCATCTGACCAATCAGAGCAGAGTAGACCAATCACAACAGACTGGACCATCTGACCAATCAGAGCAGAGTAGACCAATCACAACAGACTGGACCATCTGACCAATCAGATTAGAGTAGATCAATCACTACAGACTGGACCATCTGACCAATCAGAGCAGAGTAGATTAATCACTACAGACTGGACCATCTGACCAATCAGAGCAGAGTAGACCAATCACAACAGACTGGGCTGTCTGACCAATCAGAGCAGAGTAGACCAATCACTACAGAGTGGTCCATTTGACCAATCAGAGCAGAGTAGACCAATCACTACAGAGTGGTCCATCTGACCAATCAGAGCAGAGTAGTCTCACAGAAAGGAGGGGTTTAAAGAGACTGAATCTTCAAACAAACCTATTTTTAATCTTTTATAAATGAGGTGATGAGTAATGTACATAATGAGATAATTAAAGTGTTTTTAGACCTTTGATGCATGTAATGTAGGAGGCTCCAAAACAAAGTAATGAACATTTAAAATACCATAATTAAAACTGTTTGCTCCTGATTTTGTCTGAGGTTGTATGAAATAAATGTAGCAGTGATACTTGTGGAGCATCGTATCAAACAAATACACTTAACTCCATTGAAATTGATTTTAAAGCGTCATTTAAAAAACATCTAAAAATGTGCAAAATGCACGTAAAGTAACTGTGACACTGTGGTGAAACCAGCTGGCACTGCATGTCAGAAAACAGGAAGCTTTTTGGTAAACGCTTCTCACTTTTCTAGACCTCAGTGTCATCCTGAGGTCATATTATCATGATGCTTTTGTAAGGTCACTTATACGCATATAGCGTACTTCAGGAATATGAAAGGGCATTTAAAACCATCAAAAACATTATTTTTATCCAGGAATATGGTGTCAAACATGCTAAAGTAGTTTATAGTTTTCTGAATCATTCAGTTGAAGAAAATAAGTTGCAAAAAACAGTGAAAAGCCTTTAAAGTTCCTTTAAAAGTTTAAAAAATCTACACATCATTAAAAAAAAATACCTAAAACAGACAGTCTTGTTTTTAGAGAATATATCTGGAATTAAATGTATTTTTATGCCATATTAGCAAATTTTGTTAAGGTTAGTGAGATTTATGTAAATCAATTTTAGGTAAATCGAATAAACAAATGATCTTTAGCCTTGTTATGGATGAATAAGATGTTGAGTATGTATGATTATGAAGGATGCTTGTTAAGAGATTAAACAGCTTCCTGCTTCTTATGTTTCCTCCAAACCAGATTAGTGACAACAAATATAAATTGCAATGGAAATTATCAAGTTTGTATCCTCTGAAACCAGGAATTACATAATTGGTCTCATCATTTTAATGGTAGTATGCAAACAAAATGTATTTTCTTCCACTATTTTGTCACAAAAAAACTAAGGTTAAAAGTCTGAGGGTCATAATAAACATTAGCAGAGTTGATTAGAGCCGATACCGATACAAATATTTGTTGGTTTTAAAATCCGATATATCGGCCGATATTATTATTTTTTTTTTTTTCAGAAACGCGCAACAAAATATTAACAGATTTCCCTAACATTAATTATTTGTAGTTAATTATGAGTTTTAACTAAAATAATATGATAATGCATAACTGGTTCTCTCTGCCAGGATGTATGGCGCGTTATACACAAGTGTTGCCAACAGGAATGGAGTAGAGCGCCCTCTGGTGGACAAACTATACAACTCCAACACTCATGACATGGTTGAAGCGGGTTTCGTCCGTTTTTATTTTATTTTTGAAATATTTTAGAAAATGCCTAATATCTGCCTGCCGATATATCGGGCTGGCTCTAGAGTTGATGATGAGCCGTGTGTGTTCATGAGTCCAGTATAGAGCCAGACTGATATATCGGCCGGCCGATATTAGGCATTTTCCAAAATATCGGTATCGGCAGTCATAATGGCCGATAAATGAATTTTTAAAAAATAAAATAAAAACGGACGAAACACGCTTTAATCATCTCTCCTTGGCCTGTTATATTGAAAATGTATGTTTGATGTATGATGTTATCTATTGCTAAATTATGGCTCATCATAGACTAGCTAACCACAAAGCTAGCTAATGCCACTATCATCAGTGGAAGACCGCTAACGTTAACATTAATGAGCTTGGAAACCACAATGAACTTTTTCTGTCTAAATAAAGTAATGATTACTGTATTTATAACTAGCATATCTCTAGTTACAGTCCCTGCATTGTAAAATGTAAGTTATACTTGCGAGGAGTGAACATTTAGACATAGAGAAAAAGTATCAAACGTATCTTGTGCAGAACGTGTGTGAAATCCAACAATATTTAATAAAAAAATATATATATATATCGGCCGATATATCGGATTTTAAAACCCCAAAATATTTGTATCGGTATCGGCCTTCGAAATCCTTTATCGGTCGGGCTCTAGTCCAGTACACTTGAAATCAAAGGTTTGGATAGAAACAAAACAGGGCAAACCCTTCAACAGCAGGCTTGTTCCACTACAGAACTTCCTCTTGTTGTTCCTGTTCAGCTGCATCATCAGAAAGCAGCAAAACCCCTAGAGCAACCTAAAATAGAGATCAGTATTTTTGTTCTAATGTCATTTCTAGCATATTTTAAAAGTTGGGGTTTAAAAGACGATTAATAGAGTGCATTGAGAACTCGAGCATCACGATTCTGGATGAATTAAAAATCTAAATTTAAAATATTGATACAGAATTTTATTTTATTTTATCACTTCGGGTTGGTACACGAAACGAAATTTCCACAACACTTCATCCGTAGAGTGGTATAAGGAGGCTAGTTGGCACTTCAGCACTGCGTTGTGAAAATGATCAACATTATGTATAATCCCATGTCTTGATTTTGGCAATGGCATGATGCATACGGGCAAAGCAGCAGTTGCAAATATCGGCATGAAGCGGAACTACAAGCTAAACAGAAATGGGGTGCTAAAACAATGACAGCAGACAGAAACGAGCTAGATGGAGACGATGATGCTGGACTTACAGCTCTAAAGTCTGCTAACCCCGTGGACGGGTTAACAGCAGACCGTAAGGGTCCTCTGTCCACATGTGTCTTTCGAACAGCTGGAGCACCAAACCCTTGACTATGAACCACTGAACCGCTATTCGTGACGGACGAATTCTTTCCTGAAATAGTGTCAAAGGAAACAAAGATGACTCCCAAAACACCAACAGAACAGTTGAGGTACAGGACAGATCGTTAAAAATGACAAGAAATATTATTGAAAGTCTAGAATTAGAGCTGCACGATTCTGTTTAAAGTGATAGTTCACCATAAAATGAAAATTCTATCAGTAATGACTCTCCCTCATGTTGTTCAACCCCGTCTTCAGAACACAAATTAAGATATTTCTGATTAAATCTGAGAGCTGGATCACTCCTCCATAGGCTTCTAAGCGATGGAAACTTGCCGGCCCAGAAAAGTTATTAAAGACATCGTTAACCCTAGGGCTGGGTAAAAATATCGATTCATCAATGCATTGCAATTTTTTGCTTCTCAATTCAATATCGATTCATCAAATCCTATGAATCGATTCAGCCATCCAGGCCAGTGGCGGCGCTGTGGGCTACACTCTAGTGAGAGCGTTCAGCGTTGTGCAAGTCGCGCTTTAGCCCTTAGCAAAACAGCGCGATGACGGACAGCAGCTGCACTCCGTTCAAGCCTGATTCAAGACTGCACCGCCAACATTAAAAGCCGACGTTTGGGCTCATTTTGGATTCCACTGTAAGCCGGGAACTATGGAAGCTTGTTTCCGCCACAGAATGGAAAATAAAAAAGGTAATTGCGACTTTTTATCTCACAATTCTGACTTTTTTTTTCTCACAATTGGGAGTTTATCTCTCGCAATTCTGACTTTATTTCTCAGAATTGCAAGATATAAAGTCAGAATTGCAAGATATTAAGTCACAATTGCGTGATATAAAGTCGCAATTGGGTGTTATAAAGTCAGAAATGCATGATATAAAGTCAGAAATGCATGATATAAAGTCAGAATTGCGTGATATAAAGTCAGAAATGCATGATATAAAGTCAGAATTGCGTGATATAAAGTCAGAAATGCATGATATAAAGTCAGAATTGCGTGATATAAAGTCAGAATTGCGTGATATAAAGTCAGAAATGCGTGATATAAAGTCAGAAATGCATGATATAAAGTCTATGAGATATAAACTTCTGAGAGGGAAAAAGGTTAGTATTTTTTCCCCCTTAGAATTGGCCTGATAACTCGCAATTGCTGTTAAGTGTGATCAGCTATTAAGTGTTATTGTTTACAAAATTATAATTAGAATATAATATATACTTTCTACTACTTAGTTACATGCACTTTAGAGGTGTTGTTAAAGCACTGTACATTGCTTGTCACAGTTGTGTTTGAATTCAACACATACAATATTGTACATTTTTATTCTGCTAAATAAACCACGACAGGAAACAAACATGCTGGGGTCAATTTGTTCTTTAACATTGGTAAAACTGCGCACATTATTTAAAAATATACTCAGGCACTTAATTACTTGTGTATTTACTTATTATTGAATCGATATCGAAACTAATAAGTCAATATTGAATCGAAATCGAATCGAAGCCTCAAGAATTGAAATCGAATCGAATTGTGAAATACCTAATAATACCCAGCCCTAGTTAACCCTCTGAGACCGACGGCATCGTCGACGACGCCACACGTCACCTCCGATAAATGTTTACATAACTCGATGACAGATTTATCGATTTTCTTACCGTTTTTTCCAGCAGAAAGCTAACGAGCTAGCCATCACAATGCCTGGACTTCTTTTGGAAAAATGTCAATAGTTTTTGTTCTGTACAAGTTATAATGTTTATTCCTGTGCTCCAGGACTCCAAAGACATAAACAAACTATTTTCCAGAGGAAATTTGCTTAGCTTTTATTTATTTGTGTGTGATTTCAACAAATATTTGAGTGATTCAATTTCCGATTTATTTTTTCATTTGTCTTTATGGTCCCATAATTTATTTTACATTCAGGTGACATCAATGCAACACAAATATGCTCAAAGTTCAATTTGTCCTGAAAAAAAAAGAGGTGTGTCAATTGCCTGTGCACCAAAGGGTTGATGTTTTACAAGCTTTTTTAGTAAATAACACCAGACGGAAAATTAATTGTAAAAATACCCTTAGGTCTCAGAGGGTTAAAATAGTCTGAGTGACTACAAGCGGCTCAACCTTAATTTTATCAAGCGACGAGAATACTTTTTGTGTGCGAAAAAAACAAACAAACAAAAATAACGACTTTATTCAACTATTCATTTCCTTCTCTGTGGGCCTCGAGATTTTGCGTAGTGTAAAGGCCCGAAATTCGCGTTCGAAATTTTTGCACGCTAAAAAATAAATATGACCTCACATTATGTCACTGACGCTTGCACACTGCAACTTTCGTCCGTCATAAATAAATAAAAAAATCGAATCGGGTTCGATTTTCTGCGTTTTTCGCATCCGTAGCAAGCAGTTTGAATGGTGTTTTGACAATTCAGAGCCACCGAATCACGAATACGAAAAAACGCATACGAACATTTCGGACTCGGTGTGCAATGGCCTTAACTGCGCAGCGCTTCTGTGTTGTACATCACACACATGACCAATAGTTGAATAAAGTCGTTATTTTTGTTTGGTTTTTGCGCACAGAACGTATTCTCGTCGCTTGATAAACTTAAGGTTGAGCCGCTGTCGTCACTCGGACTATTGTAACGATGTCTTTAATAACTTTTCTGGGCCGGCAAGTTTCCATCCCTTAGATTTAATCAGAAATATCTTAATTTGTGTTCTGAAGACGGGGTTGAACAACATGAGGGAGAGTAATTACCAACAGAGTTTTCATTTTGGGGTGAACTATCCCTTTAAATAGAGAATTACGATTTTTTTTTCCCAAGCAGAGATTACGATTCTGAACAGACAAATAAACAAATTAATGCAATTCATTAAAGGTTCGGAGAAAATGTTGATAGCTACAGACCATTTAAAACAATTAATCTGAATGAATTATCTGAGTGAATGATTCAATGACTCACTTGTTTTATTACTGGATACATCAGCATTTTTGAACGAATCTCTTGAATGAATGATTCAACGACAAATACATTTTTAACAGTCACTAGTCGCCTCCTACTGATGTAATCATGTAATAGATGCAATCTTTATTCATGAAGGTGTTTGAATAACGATTAATCGTGCAGCTCTATGTCGACTTTAGTTAAAAGCAGCTGAATTTTATTTAAATGATTATTTATTCAAGCAAGAGCACACCTCACATGTTTTGATCAAGTATTTAATGTAATAAGAGCAATGATTATATGCAGTTGCTTCAATAAATTCCAGTCGCTTTCGTCCCGATTGTGCAACGATCCTGGATGAATGTGGGAAAACCCTTGATATGTGAGAGAAAGTGACAGCAATCAAGAAACAGAAGAAAGTCAGTTTGAAAACAGTCAGGTGTGTGATTTACTTTCACATGAATTCAGCAACTCCATCAAGGCTCAAGTAAATATATATTAAAGTCCTCCTGTGGTGAAAATCAATAAAATGCTTCGAGACAAATCATGTGTAAATCATAAGTCGAGTATTTTCACAATCGATCTTGTAACCGAGGAAAAAACTTTTAAATATGTGATTTTGGTGATCAATAAACGTTTGCCTACATTCTAACAAATAAAAAGTTAAATAAAAGTACATTACACATGATATTAACTCGTATAGCATGAAATACGTAAATTTATAAAACACAATTTTTCAGTGAGATCATTGCAAAGTGAGGCAACTTAAGTCCAAAGCATACTTCAGTTTTATCGTGTACACGAGGGTCCCATGTGATGCAAATTTTGTCGGTAATAATGTCGACCGCCTGCATTCGCGCTCACTATCAAATAGAGTATACATTAGCATATACGTAAAAAAAAAAAAAAAAAAAACGAAGTATCTTACGAAGTCGCTATAAAACTCCTGCCTATCTTTCGGAGCAGACGTTTAATTATCTTTGATTAAATGAGTGCTGTACATCCCGTGTCTACTCAAATAGATGTCAAAGGTCTAAATTCACTAGCGGTGCACCACTGCAAAGGTTTCATTTCTTCAAAATATGAGCAATATTTACAAACCATTAAAAATAGGCAACAGCAACCACAACCTACTACAATAACAACTAGATTTATGTGAGTTGCAGAAGTGGGAAATGTGATTGAAGGGGAATCGCAAGAAACCTGTTAAGAGCAAGAAGCAAAAGAAAAAAACTATATGTATATATATATACATATATGTGTGTGTGTGTGTGTGTGTGTGTGTGTGTGTATGTGTATATTTATTTATATATACACACACACATATACATACAGAACTATATATATATATATATATATATATACACACATATACATAGATGTATACATATATGCAATTAAAGTAATTACTGCAATTATGCATATATAATGTTTGTGAGTAAACATACACTGATCGTATAATTTTTGTATAATATCAAAATGTATTTAATTGCCATAATGCAAAATTAAAATTATATATATATATAATTTTAATTTTGCATTATGGCAATTAAATACATTTTGATATTGTATTATATACATTTAAAAATATAAAGTACTTGTATGTTTTATTTCAATTTAAACTTTTTAAGAATCATGGAATTACAGTATTTTTAGGGTGCAAATTATATATTACAGTAATGATGATCATTGCGAATAATTACCAGAAACAAAATCTAAAGTTATATGTGAGTAATAAAACAATGAGAGTTTAGGGGGAAAATGTATTTAATAGCTTAAATATCACATCCCAAAACAATCTTCATGGCCCTAATATTATTTGACTCTGAAATATGATATTTATACAATAAAGAAAATTTGAAATGGTGTGTGTGTGATTGTAACATTTACACACAAACACTCTAAATCTGCACTTTTTATATTCTGAAAGTGTTCAATAGGATCATTGGAAGTAAAAATGTCTGATAAAAAGCTAAAATGGTTCATATATAGAGTAGAAATGCTCAGTACTTGCAGTTCCAGAGGAGTGTGAGAACCTGGCATGAACATATTTAGCCCGTCGTGGGAACATTGGTGCTCAGTTTAAGGGTGTGAACCGCGAACTTTAGAGGAACTCACTTCTCTACATCTCTCACACCACTACACAGGCATCTTGTGCCATGGAGAGGAAGAGCGTCTTTCTTTCTTAACTCAGAGATAGTAGTGAAACTACCAACGCCACACCCATGCCCTTTCTGTGCCTGTTATAGTAATAAACACACCACAAACAACACTAAACAGTCCCCTGCATCAAACAAAAGAGAGAATTAGCAGTGTAAACACCCCGCTGTAAAGGTTATGCATCGGAAAATTCGGAACTTAAAAGTGCTGAATACGGAGTGTAAACATGCATGTTGGTGTTAGAGGTGACTTCAGTGTGTTTATGAGCAAAACAAACAAAAACATTATTATGTTATAAAAAACTATATCTGCATACATTCAGTGCCATCAAATTAAGTTGATACTAGAGTACTATCTCTCAGCTTTGAGTTTGCTTTTAGTAATGCATTTCGGTTCCCTAATCGTAATTTCATTGCATAATTTTATTGGGATTCTTGGCCAAAATGCACTGTATAATGACCAGATTTCATGCAAAATGCTGGTTACCAGAAAACATCTGCAAAAATTATTCCTCTCAAAATACTTTTTTTTTTTGTGCACGATGCATAACAAAAGAAAATTGCTAACACTTTATAATAAGGTAACATTAGTTAATGCTTCACAACCTAACATCAATTAACTAAAATTATATATCAAGAGCAATTCATTTGTTATTTTTGTTAACATTGGTTGATAAAACACACCTGTTAATTATTACCTCAAGTCCATTAGATAATATTAACAGATGCGACTTTTGATATTAATAATGTATTAGTAAATGTTGAAATTAATTAATAAATGCTTTATCATTTTTAATTACGTGTCGCATCTTTTGATGAGGAAAGAAAATACAGGTTTAGTCCAACTTAAGGGTGAGTAAATCTGAAACATTCCTTTGTGTAGACAAATAAACCTGCATTTGTCCGTTCTTGGACTGCATGACGCTGCTGTTGCTTATTATCTCATGCCAAGACGACTCTTATCTTTCCTGTCACAGATGTCCTACGATGAGCTCACAACGCACCGTTGCGTTTCGATATCGCCAAAATGGAGAAGTGTTTGACTTTCCATTATCAGACTCACAGTGCATGATCTGTCATATTATTGAGTTTGTTGTGTTATGAAATATAATGTGGGTTGTGAAATGCGGCACTGCTCTGAAGATGTTTACAATTAAAACTTGAATTATTACTTATAAGAAAACTCCAGGTTCAATATAAATAGAGCTTATAAAATATAAAAACAATTTAAAACAAGCAAATATGGTGTACAATCAAGTCTATAATGGGGCATTAAACTAGAATCTGAAAGTATCGCTAATGGACATTGCATGAGTTTACAAGTAGTTGGACCAGTGAGATAAAATCTATAATCAATTTTGTACAAAGTTTTATTCAGTAACTCTTGTCAGGACTATTAAACTCAAAGTACGTGGCAAGATTAGCAGAAAAGTTTGTGACAAACTATTCATAATGTTTTTCATTGTTGTTACTGTTAACTAAAACTATTAAAAAACGTATTTGGAAATTGAATTAAATAAAGCTAAAATAAAATAAAACAAAACATTAGATTAGAGTAAAAAAATAATTTTTAAACTAGGGCTGTGCAAAGATTAATTGCGATTAATCACATCCAAAATAAAAGTTTGTGTTTACATAATATATGCGTGTGTGCTGTGTATAATTATTTTGTATATATAAATACACACACATGCATGTATATATTTAAGAAAATGTGTTATTCATATATAAAATATTTATATTTATATATATATATATATATATATATATACAGTATTTACATGCAAATAATTCTTAAATATATACATGCATGCATATGTATATATACATATACAGCATACACACATATCATGTAACACAAACTTTTATTTTGGATGCGATTAATCGCAATTAATCTTTGCACAGCCCTAGTTTAAACATTTAATCTGAAGTATTAAAATTACTAGAATACTGAAAAATAAATAAATTAAAGATATACAATAATATTTAAAACAACCCCCCCCCCCAAAAAAAAAAACTAATAAAAATTACAATCACATGACAAAAATGCTAAAAAAGATATGAAAATATAAAAATATAAAAAAATAAAATCTAATTTAAACTAATTAATTAAATAAATAATTAATTAAATAATTTAAAAATATGAAAATATAAAAAATAAAAGCTAATTTAAACTATTAATAAATACTTTATTTGAATTAACTGTTTTGTTTTGTTTTTTTTAAGAATAATTAATACATTTTACAAACATATTCATGTTTTAAAACTGAGGGACATGTTAAAGTTATTTTGTGTGTATTAATTATACACTGGATTTAACCTGGAATGCCCCTGATCGTTAGCATATAGTTTGGGTCTGGTTATAGTTGGCTACAGTATTAAAACCTTTTGACATAATAATAAATCAAGCATACATCATAACCAAAACTCATCCTAATGATCTCATTAAATATAAAGATTTTCCTCTAGACATTACATTATCACACAACAAGCCCTTAATATTATAATAAAATTACAATACCAGATAAAAATCTCATTCTTTTTTACCGCATTATAAAGACAAACGTCATAATGCATTTTTTATATAATTAAAACTCACACTCACACACTCTCTCTCATGCTTATCAGATGAACTAGGTAATTAAATCACTAAATCACACACACATTCATGTTGGCAGGGGTTTCTCACCATAAGGAGGCGGCGCTGGTCTCTGTGGTCCGGGTTTTTTCGGAGGGGGAAGCGGGTACGTCGGCTTTCGGCTCGTCGGCGCTGAAGTCGAACTCTGGGAACGAATACAAATCACAGAGTTGATAATCACACACACACACACAAATTAAATGCTTATTGCATATTGCAAAGTATACTGCCTATATTTTCTAGTGTCTAAAACCTTAAAGGGTTAGTTCACCCAAAAATGAAAATGATGTCATTAATGACTCACCCTCTTGTCATCCTAAACCCGTAAGACCTCACACACACAAATTAAATGCGTATTGCATATTATATATAGTATAAACTGCCTTTTTTTTTAGTATGTAAAACAATATGCAGCATTGGACCCTTTTCACATTACATCATAGTTAGGTCAACTTCTATGGTGATAAATGGAAACTACAACAAATTAAATTTTTATGTTCCTGTTAGCCCCAAAAGCAAAAAAAAAATAAATAAAATAAAATAAATAAATAAATAAATCCACAAAAGTGTTTCTATGACGTTACAAAAGTCATAAGAGAGAAAGAGGTCAAATTTGCCCTCACTTTCTCTGCCATTGTAATAGAAACTCACACTGCAGCGTTAACTAGTTTTTTAAATTTGATACCACAAAGTTTAGTGTTATACTCTACATAAGTAACCCTATTATGTTTTTTTAGGATATTACCTTACATTACATTACTTTACATTACCTTACAGATCTATTGAGTTTTTGAAAAAACATTCCAGGATTTTCTCCATATAATGGACTTCAATAGGGTCCAAACGGTTCAAGGTCCAAATGAGAGTTTCAGTGCAGCTTCAAATGGCTTTAAACGACACCAGGTGATGAATAAGGGTCTTATCAAGCATAACGATCGCTCATTTCAAAAATAAATACAAAAGTTTAAGTTTTATAAGCACAAATGCTCGCCATTTTGATGAACGAGTTCGAACAGGAGAGTCAAGCAAGGCGAGCATTTGTGCTTATAAAACTTAAACTTTTGTATTTATTTTTTAAATGAGCGATCGTTTCGCTTGATAAGACCCTTATTCATCGTCTGGAATCGTTTAAAGCCCTTTGAAGCTGCACTGAAACTCTCATTTGGACCTTGAACCGTTTGGACCCCATTGAAGTCCATTATATGAAGAAAATCCTGGAATGTTTTCATCAAAAACCTTAATTTCTTTTCGGCTGAAGAAAGAAAGACATGGACATCTTGGATGACATGGGGGTGAGTAAATTATCAGCAAAAGCTTTTTTTTTTTAAAGTGATCGAACTGAGTAGTCTCAACTTAAATTTCTCTTGAACATACCTTTGACATTTGAGAAAAATCAGCAAAACCACCTTTCCCTCCTCCTAAAAAGTCGCTACTGAACGGGTCTGACGCAGCAAACGGATCTGTGTATGAAAGAGAGAAAGCACAAGCAATGTGTTTGATGGAAACATCTGACCGGCAACGTTTCAACCCACTGCAAATACTGAGCTCTGTCTTTTACTGGAGCGATCGGGCACAACACAGGTGCTATTTTAAGAGAGCGGCTTGTATGTGGCCAGTGTCTCTCTTTTTCCATGACTTTTCAGCTCCTGAAAAGTGCACATTTTCTTTTCCATCTGCAGCGTGACGTATGTTTCTGATTAACTAATGACGACGTTATGAGGGTTTACTGTGCATGAAAGAGCCATTCCTGCTTACCAGTACATGTATAAGGTCTTAATATAGTGAATTACAACACCATTATTCATTTGTTTCTTTTCACTGTCATGATATGTTTCAAAGTTTCCTTGGAAATACTGTTTTAACAAAAGCCAGTTGCTTAACGACATCATCCTCTAGTAGGAAGTGACATCATTTTAGAGGGAAAACAACAACAAAAACATCAGCAAGTACTGTCAATGGATCTGATGAATTATGGCATATTGTTTTGTTTACTGATTTGCATCTCATATTGTTTATTTTCATCCTGTAATCATCCATAGATTACTGTAAAGTTTGGGGTGAGTTATATTTTTAATGCTCATGTTCATTTATTAGATCAAAAATACAGTAAAAATACTGAAATTTAATTAGAATAGCGTCATTACGCCAGTCTACAGTGTCACATGATCCTTCAGAAATCATACTAATATGTTGATTTGCAGCTCAAGAAACTTTTCTTATTATTATCAATGATGAAAACATAGAGTTAATAAAAACTAACTGAATAGACTTTTATAGAATAGACATGGAAATGCACATTTCGAACTTACATGGTTGTAATTCAAGAATGTTTTGGAATATAGACGTAAAAATTGGTCTTGTTTTAAAGAAGACATTTGGCAGATTTTTCTCGAAGTGAAATAAATTAAGAAAGTGAAACAGAAAAACAGTTATAGAAGTTTGAGTTTATGAAAATGTACTATGTAAAAAATTTATTATTCATATTTTATATAAAATATATATTTTCAAAACCTGGGCTACTCTAAAACTGCAGAAAAATCAAAGCCAAAAATCGGAACAAATTTTAGGTTGATATCTCAAAAAAAATTAGCTTTGAGTGAGATTTTGTTTGGGCGCAGTACCGAACGCTTCCACTAGGGCACAACCAGACTCCATCACTGCCCATATACAGTAAGGGGCCGCCATTTCCATGTGTTTTGAGTGATCTGAACCGACATTTACACAATTTTCATACAATTTATGAAGTAGGCATCCTATTCAGAAGTAATATGAGAAGTTTGGCAGATTTTGATATGAATTCAACCTCTAAGAAACACATACAAAGAACACGCATGTGCGTTATAGCTTCCAGTTGAATTTATTATTTTTTTCTTAATATTTAAAAAAATGTAAAAAATCAGACTTTATTTTCTAAAATAATTGAATGGATGCAATCTTTTGAACTCTTGGCATGAAAACAAACCTTTTTTTCATGATTTTTCATGTTCATTGCTATTTCAAAATAAAGGTCTTTTTGAGTATGAAAATATTCTTATTGCAAATTGATAAATTACGGCTCCTGTGTAATTGATTTAGAAAATCAGTCACCAAATATGGAAACTAGACATTGTAAACTTTCAAATGATATATAGTTTGTCAATATTACTGTTTTAAAAATATAATGGCAAGCGTCCCACCTGTGATACGGTGACAGTGAAGGGTTAAGGATGAATAAAAAACAACAGCATTTATTTGAAATACAACTCTTTAGTAACATCATAAACGTCTTTACTGTCACTTTAATGCATCCGTTCATTCCTAAAATGAAAAAGCGAGCATATTTATTTTAGAAAAGCTGCAGAGTTCAAAAGGTTCATCACACTAATGACCCAAAAATGAACACAAACAAATACGTGCGTTATGAAGAACAAGCATATTTGAAGTCGCTCTGTTTGCTGTGAGAGCTGAGCTAGTAAAACACATGCGAGTTTCCTGAACGCATCTGTAAGTGTGAGACCACTAACAGCTCAGAACACACTCTTCTTGTGTTCCCGTAAAAAGAGTTATTTCAGGAGCACGTCAGTCGGCGTGTTTCCCATAAATTAACCCCGCTTCCTCCGACGGGACGCGCAGAAAGAGCTTACCTGTTCACCCTGTGAGGTGGACGTGAGAAAAACAAGACCAGGGGGGAGAGAGAGAGAGAGAGAGAGAGACATGACACTCTGACTTTTCCGTTATTTCACAAACAAAGCGTTCCCTGTTCGGACGGTACTATTTTCGGAAGGCCTCTACGTAAACGCGCTATTAATAGAGTCACTCCATTGGAAATTGGGGCAGTGCCTCAAAATAAAAATAAAAACGCTGACCACTACCTTTTAAAAATAAAATTATGCTGTTTTTCATAAGATAATACATTCTGTATGCTTTAGTGAAGCCTTTCAGTGTAAATGTAAGCGCTTTTCCTGCCAAGATTCCTCTAAATGTAACCCTTATTACAGCGTCCAATCAGAAAGTGGCTAGTTAAACGTTGCATCATGACACTGTACAGTTATACCAAATGTTGGGTTAAAAATAACCCAATGAATAACCCAACTATGGACTTACTGCACTTCATTTTATTCTAAATGGTTTTAATTTACTGTATTTTATTTTTATCATAATTTTCATTTTTCATTTTTTCTTATTTTATATTCTAAACTGTTTTAATTATTCTGATTTCTTTTGATTATTTTAATTTCTTCTATGTAAAGCACTTTGAATTGCCATTGTGTATGAAATGTGCTATATAAATAAACTTGCCTTGCCTTGCCTATAGCACCTTCCCAACTGTGGGTTATTTTAACCCAATGCATAACAGTTGGGTCAAAATAATGAGTATGAATCTTCTCATTAAATATGTTTTAAGTATTAAATCACGAATGTAATAAATATTAGCGAGCCGAGTATATAAATATACACGTGAACAAACAATTATGACGTGCAAATATTAGGGCTGTCAAATGATTAATCACGATTAATCACATCCAAAATAAAAGTTTTTGTTTACATAATATATGTGGGTGTACTGTGTATAATTTTTGTATATATATATATATATATATATATAAATACACACACATGCATGTATATTTAAGAAAAAATATTATTTATTTATAAAATATTTATATTTATATATAATAGATATTATATATAAATCTATATACATGAAAATATTTCTTAAATATATACAAGCATGTGTGTGTATTTATATATATAAAATAATTATACACAGTGCACCCACATATATTATGTAAACAAAAACTTTTATTTTGGATGTGATTAATCACGACTAATCATTTGACAGCCCTGGCAAATATTAAAATAAACACACACGTGTGTGCACATTCAGTACATAAATTAAAAACATTAAAATACTACTACAACTAATAATAATGCGTGCGTAGAAGGTTGCTTATTTTTCACAAACAATATTTCTCAATATCATCAATATTTTCGTTTAAACAGCATGTAGCCTTTAATGCTTTCATAATTGTACCGTCATGACTCATAAATAATATGGAAGATAGGGACGAGCTCTCTAAACATCCAGAAGCAACCCAAACGAACACCACACCGTACCTGAATCTTTAGGTTTGGGACTCTTCGATGTCTGGCTGATTCTTGTGCTGAAGGAACTGGCCTGCGCGGGGCGAGAGAGAAACCACAGGGCATCATGGGAATGACAGAGCACTAACTGTAAAGTATTTGGCAAAGTACAACATGACATGACAAAATGTACATTTACATCTTCATTTGTTTTTCTCACAGAGGTTGACTTGGTTGACTTTACATGCAAGTTTTTGACTGCTATAGTCTCCGTGTAAACTACAAATCACACGCACATGCATGTTATGTGTTAATAAGGAATGTGCAAATACTTGACTCTCAAAAGTACACGTCATTCTTTCTTCAGTCGAAAAGAAATTAAGGTTTTTGATGAAAACATTCCAGGATTTTCTCCATATAATGGACTTCAATGGGGTCCAAACGGTTCAAGGTCCAAATGAGAGTTTCAGTGCAGCTTCAAAGGGCTTTAAACGACACCAGACAATGAATAAGGGTCATATCTAGTGAAACGATCGCTCATTTAAAAAAAAAAAACAATTTAAATTAAGTTTTAAAAGCTCAAATGGTCACCACGCACGTTCGTGACTCTCTGGTTCGAATCTTTTTTCGAGTCATTTCGTAAATTCAATGTTGTCGTTTTTTAAATGAGCGCTCGATTCGCTAGATAAGACCCTTATTCATCGGCTGGAATCGTTTAAAGCCCTTTGAAGCTGCACTGAAACTGTCTTTTGGACCTTGAACCGTTTGGACCCCATTGAAGTCCATTATATGGAGAAAATCCTGGAATGTTTTCATCAAAAACCTTAATTTCTTTTCGACTGAAGAAAGAAAGACATGGACATCTTGGATGACATGGGGGTGAGTAAATTATCAGCAAAAGTTTTTTTTAAAAGTGAACTACTCCTTTAAGGTACTAATGTTGACAGTGTGGAGTATAACTAACCATTTTTTAGATGAAACTTCAAAGTAGAAAGGAAAAACGTTTTAGTACATGTGAGAATAATTAAATTACAATGACATAATCTCAAGTAAATCCTATTTGGATCAACTAAAACTAAAACCATACACATTTTCATCACTTGAAATAAAATGAACGTTAACTGACTAGGACTTTCTACTCCGACTGATGGAACAAATTTAAAAACTATAATTTGTCATCATGGTAGAAATTCATGAATGTACAAAAACACGTATTTCTGATACAAGATGCGCCCAGATTTACAGTATTTTTTTATTTTACCTTGAATTGACTTGAACTTTCACCAAAGGGATCAGAATTAGCGAACGGGTCTTTGAAGGGGTCGTTCTGTTTGAATGGATCTCCGCCAAACGGATCAGCTAGAGAACAATAATTCACACACAAATGTCAAAAAACACACAGCAACCCATACAGTTTTTTGGTTACACTTTATTTTAAGGTGTCATTGTTACAGTGTATTTATATATTGAAGTACTGAGTAATATTAATATTACATGTAACATATGTAACAAGGACACTGTAAAATCATTTTTTAAATCATTAAGAAATCATTTTATAAGTACTGCTTATTTACGTCCAGTGGCCTAAACAAGGAAAGTCACGCTTAAATGTCTAACTCTCATTGTATTTAGATCAAATATCAAAGCAACCTGTAAATAATCTACAAATAATGCTAGAGCAAATTATGCTAGCAGTTTCATATTTTGGAGAGGTTTGTTCAAATCCGTAAGCCTAAACCATGGTAAAAGAGATGATTGTCTTAGCAAACACTACTAATTATACATATATAAATAATAACTACACAAATTAATTATAAATACATTAAATAAATAAATAATTAAAAATAAATACAATTAATTACTTATATTAGTTAATTTAATTTATTTTGTATTTAATTATTTTTAATTAATCTGAATCTATTATGTATTTATGTATACTCTAATTACTTTTATTAGGTAATAATAATTTAGAGTACACAAATAATAAATTAAATTAATAATAAGTAATGAATTAATTAAAAATAAATAAATACAAAATAAATTAAATTATTAACTAATAAAAGTAATTAATTTATTTTGTATTTTTTTATTTTTAATTCATTATTTTATTTATTACAAATAAATAATAAATTAAATTAATAATAATAATAAATATATTCAATTATTAAATATAAATATTAATCTATAAATAAAAGTACAAAATAAATAAATATGAAATTAATTCATTAAAGATAAAAATGCAAATGAATGAATAAATACATTTCGAAATAAAAATGCTTCAATGAATTGGTAACTAGTTCAATTAAATGAACTGATTCGCTAATATGGGACTTGAACAGTCTAAGTACATAACAATGTTAACTTTCAGACTGAACACTGAATATAATAGCACACACTGCTAGATGAAAAGCCCACCTTTACTGAAAGGGTTACTCTTGAAGGGGTCTTCGCTCTGAAAGGGGTCTGCGTTCAGGCCTTGAGAGCTGGAACTGCTAAACATGGCCATCCTGGACTTAACCAATGAATCCTCCTGAAACACACACAGCATTCAGCTCGTGTTTGCTCTCCTCCTCTCACTGCGGGGAAAATATTATCATTGTAATGGGTATGAAGAGGGCATCGTTCAGCTCCTCATTTCCCCTGCTGGATCATCTGATGTGCGAGGAAAGAGTGAGCTGTGTGACAGTGGGTCAGTGTGTGTGTGGCATCATTACGGTAACAATAACAAGAGTAAAGGCCCTCTGACGGTGTTGTGCGGTCACTCTTTAACCTTTCCATGGAAGGCCAAGCTAAAGTTACTTTATATGTCAACAAACAAGTAATTTCCTTCATAATTAAAGGATTATTCTAGGTTCAATGCATTATTGTAAAGATGATTTCTAAAACTTTAAATGATCAGTATTTAGGCTTTGTTTTTACTAAGGCACCCCTTAATTTGTAAAAACAAACGAGAAACAAGTTTACAGTAAATACACAGAGTTTCCTAAACTCATGGATATGGAAAAATCATTTTTAGCCAATTAAATGGTTTCTAATTTGTTTCATGGATGGAAATCGCAATTTAAAAGTTCCAGGTTTTCCATGACACTTTTTCCCCATGAGGCCTGTTTAATTGAAACGATCTTGATTGTAATTTTACTTTGGTATCAGTTTTTGTCTTGACAAATTATTCTTTAAATTTAATCAATATTTCTTCATTATTAATTATTCAAAATGGCATATCATTTCAATCAACAGCAGTGCTGTTACTGCTAACTAAAACAATTGATAATCTTTTTAATTAGACCTGAAATAAAATGTAAATATTAGATAAAAAGTTTGTTTATATAACAAATTTAATTTCACAAAATCAGACTTTTTTTAAATAATATATAAAAAGTTTAAATAAAAAAATAAATTTCACAAAATCAGAAAAAGTATTTAAATATTAGATAAAATCTTTGTTTATATAAAAAAATTCACAAAATCAGAAAAAAATATTTAAATATTAGATAAAAACTTTGTTTATATAAAAAAAATTCACAAATTCAGAAAAAAATATTATTGGATAAAAAGTTTAAAAAAAGTTTAATTTAATTTCACAAAATCAGATTTTTTTAAATATTAGATAAAAAGTTTGTTAATATAAAAAGAAAATAAATTTCACAAAATCAGAAAAAAATACTTAAATATTAGATAAAAAGTTTGTTTATATAAAAAAATTTCACAAATTCAGATAAATTTTAAATAATAGATAAAAAGTTTAAATAAAAAAATTAATTTCACAAAATCAGAAAAAATATTTAAATATTAGATAAAAACTTTGTTTATATAAAAAAACCACAAAATCAGAAAAAAATATTATTGGATAAAAAGTTTGTTTATATAAAAAAATTTCACAAAATCAGAAATGTTTATATTTATATAAAAAATACATATTCCAAAAAGCAGAAAAGTGGCATTGGCAGCTAGCTAACTTAAGTGAAATAAGTTTCCTTAAACAAAATGAACAATACTGAAATAAAAAAAATTGTGAAAGCTACTTTAAAAATTAAAATAAAAAAATATAAAATGCCAGTGGGTGGGGCCTATGATGTGGTGATGTATAACTATTTGTCGTTGTCTTGCTCTGAAGGCAGGCATATGCAAATATATTTGCCAGTGTGGCGTCATAAATCCCGCAATATTGAAACGAGATGTTTTTGGAGCTTGGTTATATAAATTCTTTATTTATTATAACGAGGTAACGGTACAAAGACCTCTTATTTGTCAAGACCAAATTTGATTTCACCCATTTTTTTATTTTACGTTTTATTTTTTTATTTTTTTTCGTTAAAAAAGGCAAACTTTCAGATTTTTTGCTTGGTTTTGCTCAAGACCACCAATCTGAAGATGAAGCAACCTTGAAAATGTACTTACGGTTCTACCTGTATCTTTCAAAATCAAGTGCACTTAAATACGACAACATGATCAAGGGGTTTCTGAAGCGTGCCGTGACTCCTGACCTTGGCATCGATGCTGGAGCTCTCCTCGGCGATGAGCTGGTCCAGTTCGGCCAGGCTGATCGTGCCGTTGTTGAGAGCTGTGCTGAAGCGCTCGATAGTCTTATTCAGCTCCCGCTGGGTGTCCTGCATCTCGACGAGCTCACTGCGCGTCTGAGGGAACAAGATCACAATAGAAACGTCACTTTACATGAAGTGTAGACCATGCTCTTATTCATGCTAATGCTTTTGACATTTATTCATTTAGCTGACGCTTTTATCCAAAGCGACTTACAATTGCTATATATGTCAGAGGTCGCACGCCTCTGGAGCAACTAGGGGTTAAGTGTCTTGCTCAGGGACACATTGGTGTCTCACAGTGGATTCGAACCCGGGTCTCTCACACCAAAGGCATGTGTCTTATCCACTGCACCAGAGAGCATTTTTAGAGTATTTAAGCATAATAAGACACATGATAGTGACACAGACACACATGACTCATGCGCATAGAAAGCCATTTTAGACGCTGTTTGAATGGACAAACAGACACACAATTATGCCAAAATGCCCATTTTGTTGATCACAGGCTTTAAATAGTTAAACCTCTGGAAAGATGAACGTGAATTTAAAATGGGTCATTTATGTAGAAGAAATGTGAAATTATTTTTGAATTTGGAGCTTTCTAGACTGAGAAAAGCCAGAAAATGTATTTTTGGCTTATGTCGATGAAAGACAACAACTCCCAGAATGCACTTGCTTTGCTGCCCTAGGAGGCCACGCCTACCGGTAACAGAGCGCAGTCGTTAAACAACAAGTCTAGGCTACTAGTGATGAGTCTGCCCGAAAATGTGTTTCGAGATCGCCCAAAATGTCCGGGATTCGGCTATATATACATATATTATATAATATCTAAAAAATATACATATAAAATATATATATAATATATATAAATAAATTAAAAAAATATATATAAATATATAAATATATATATATATATATATAACAAATATTTTCACAAAATCTGAAAAAATCTATATATAAGAGTTCAGATGCAAAAGCCTCTAAGTGCCATTTGAAATTTTCTTCTTTAATGATGATTTTTATCAAACTTGTATATTTAAGTTCAGTAATTTCACTTAAATAGCAATGATAATTACCTATTAATTGTTATTTAAGTGAAATTACTGAACTTAAAATATATAAGTTTGATAAAAATCATCATTAAAGAAGAAAATTTCAAATGGCATTTAGAGGCTTTTGCATCTGAACTCTTCAAATATTAAATAAAAAGTGTAATGTAATCATAACAAGGACGGAAAAAAAAAATTATAAAAGAAATAAATCCTTTTTAAAAAGCGTTTTCGGTTTCGGCCGTGCACCCAGAATTTTAATTTCGGTGCATTCCTAGTTGTTTTGTGACCTGGTCCATCTCGTCCTGCGATGTTTTGAGCAGTTTGAGGATGCTGTCGAGCTTGGCTTGTCCAGCACGCAGACTCTCGTCCAGGCGCTGCTCCTCTTGCTCCAGACAGTACAGGTCCGTCTTCGCTCGGCTCATCTCCTTCTCCTGCGTCTGCACGTCTGACTCCTGAGAGAGGATCTGAGTCTGCAGAGACGTGATCTACACACACACACAGAATAAAAAAAGATGGCAATTATTCAGTCATTTATATAAAAGAAATCACCAAGCATGTTTCACATCACTCAGACTTTTGATTTTCCGCATAAAATGTGGTTATTCTGGTCATAAACTGCTAAATAGTCTAATCAAGTCATACAGGAACATTATTTACGTTAGTTAACATTAAAAATGAACAATACTGAAACAATTCCTGTATTCCTTTAATGTAAAAAATCTTTCCGTTTATATATATATATATATAAAACCTTTAAACCTTTAAAAAATCTGCCGTTTCCAAAAACCTTTAAATATATATATATATATATATATATATATATATATATATATATATATAAATAAAACTTTTTTAAAGGTTTTTGGAAATGGCAGATTATATATATATATATATATATATATATATATATATATATATATTTTTTTAAAGGTTTTTGGAAACGGCAGATTATATATATATATATATATATATACAAACTTTCTTTAAAGGTTTTTGGAAACGGCAGATTATATATATATATATATATATATACAAACTTTTCTTTAAAGGTTTTTGAAACGGCAGATTATATATATATATATATATATATAAACTTTTTTTTAGAGGTTTTTGGAAACGGCAGATTATATATATATATATATATATACACAAACTTTTCTTTAAAGGTTTTTGGAAACGGCAGATTATATATATATATATATATATATAAACTTTTTTTAGAGGTTTTTGGAAACGGCAGATTATATATATATATATATATATATACAAACTTTTCTTTAAAGGTTTTGGAAACGGCAGATTATATATATATATATATATATTTTTTTTTTAAAGGTTTTTGGAAACGGCAGATTACATGTATATGTAAAAACTTTTTTTAAAAGGTTTTTGGAAATGGCAGATTATATATATATATATATATATATACAAACTTTTCTTTAAAGGTTTTGGAAACGGCAGATTATATATATATATAAACTTTTTTAAAGGTTTTTGGAAACGGCAGATTATATATATACAAACTTTTCTTTAAAGGTTTTTGGAAACGGCAGATTATATATATATATATATATATATATAAACTTTTTTTAAAGGTTTTTGGAAACGGCAGATTATATATATATAAAAACTTTTTTTAAAGGTTTTTGGAAACGGCAGATTTTTTAAAGGTTTAAAGGGGAGCGTGTCCAAAAACGTTTGAGAACCACTGTTCAATCTCAACTCAAATCAAAGTGAGACTCACCTTAGCGTTCTCCTCCTGCCATTTGTTCTTGGTCTCGTCCAGTGTGGTCTCCAGCTTGGCTCTCTGTTGCTCCATTTCACCGAGTCGATCCTGAGCGTCCCGTTTCTGGTGCTCAATGTCCTGCAGACCCACATTTTCACGCTCCAGGTCTCTCTGCACCTCCTGCACAGAAACATTATTTTATCCACCTCAATTTTTTTAAAGTAAGAGCAGATGGTGTAATTTGTAGCTTTAATGTACGAGGCTTACGGTCTCTTTGATATTGATATGCTGCTTAAAATTGCTAATTTCTAATCCTGTCATTTTAACATATTGATTGTCATCTTTTTCGCCTTTCTTCGCCTTTCGGCTTGCTTAGTTGGTGACATTTAATTTTATATTAAACAATATTATTACAACATTGTTTTCCTGTTAACTCTGTAAAGCTGCTTTGAAACAATCTGTTACCAAATTAACTAACATTACCTGATGGGACCTATTGTAAAATGGGTAGCACTTAACAATATGATTAATCTGTTAACATTACTTAACTTCATTAGTTAACATGAATAAATAATTAAAAATACAAAAAATTTCAACATTTACAAATAATCTATTAAATTCAAAAGTTGTAACGGTTAATATTTAATGGACCTGGTGAACTAACAATGAACAGCTGTATTTTTATTAACCAAGGTAAAAATAGATTAATGAATACTGTAACAAATTGCTCATTGTTACTCAATGTTAGTTAATGCGTTAACTAGTGTTAGCGATCAGCCTCACCTGAACTTCACCGTTCTTCTGTCGCAGGACTTCCTCTTTCTGTCTGATTTCGGTCTCTAAAATGCGTTTTTCACTATGAAGTAAGCAATGCACACACACAAAAAACTAAATAGTAAATAATAATTATAATATATAATAATATATAAGGTAAACACTTTAGTTTAGGGTCTAATTCTCACTATTAACTAGGTGCTTATTATTAGTATGCATAAAATTGCTGTTTATTAGTACTTATAAAGCACATATTAATGCATTATTCTGCATGACTATATTATACTTCCCTTAATTCAACCCAATACCTAAACTTAACAATCTTACTAACTACTAATTAGCAGTGATTAGGAGTTTATCGAGGCAAAGTTGTAGTTAATAGTGAGAATTGGACCCTAATCTAAAGTGTGACCTAATATGAATATAACTATATAATAATAATAATAATAAGCAATTAGCAGAATCCAATATACTATATATGACCCTGGATCACAAAACATAATGTATATGACCCTGGATCATAAGTCGCACGGGTATATTTGTGGCAATAGCCAAACATACATTGTATGGGTCAAAATGATCATTAGGATATTAAAGTAAAGATATTTAGTAAAATTCCTTCCTTAAATATATAAAAAAAAATTAATTTTTGTGAGTGGATGCTGACAGAAATGATCTTTAAAGGTGATTTTCTCAATATTTTGATTTTTTTGCACCCTCGGATTTCAGATCTTCAAATAGTTCGGCCAAATATCCTATCCTAACAAACACATACATCAATGGGAAGCTTATTTATTTGGTTTTTAGATGATGTTTAAATCTGAATTTTTTTTTAAAAAATTACCCATAAGACTGGTTTTGTGGTCCAGGGTCACATATATGGTTTTGTGTAGCATATAATTCCCCATCTATAAACCCTCTGACCTCTGCAGCTGGGAGATTTCCTGGTTGATGTCATCGAGATCCTTGTTTCCCGTTAACTCAACCAACCCAACAGAACTGCTGCTGTCCTGGAAAAATCATGATCTGTGTTATCTATAGTATGACTGTATGATTATGCAGTGCTCCTCCATGAGCACTAGGTGGCGTTCTCATTGCATGAACATAGACAGACTTCATAGAAACAACCAAAATGGACTTTCTTAATACATTTTTTCAGTCTTATTGTAAATTATTTGTCAGTGCATTGAAAATTAAATGAAAATTTAATTTAAATGCTTTATTTTCTGATGATGTAACCAAGACAAAATAATACTAACCAATAATATTATAGCCCACTTTTCATGATTAAATATATTCATTTAAAGTTGAACACAATTTATCACTCATATATCGCTCACCCTGCTCAGATTGGTCAACGGGGTCAATTCGGACATCAATGATGGTGTGAGTCCAGAGAGAATCTGGATCAAATTACAAATAAAAAATTAAATAATCAGCTAAAGTTTCATTTGTAAAGCATTGTATAAACTGGATTATCAAAAATATGCATTACCACATGTTATGTGTACCAAATTAACTTCATTAATCTTAGTTAATGTTAATTTTAACTAGGGATGGGCAACGATTAATCGCATCCAAAATAAAAGTTTGTGTTTACATAATATATGTGTGTGTAGTGTGTATAATTAATTTGTATATATACACACATGCATGTATATATTTTATATATATTTATTCACAATTTATATTATATAAATATAAATATTTGATATTAATAACACATTTTTCTTACATATATACATGCATGTGTGGATATTTATGTATACAAATTAATTATACACACACATATATTATGTAAACACAAACTTTTATTTTGGATGCAATTAATCGCGATTAATCGTTGCCCATCCCGTTGCGTCTGTTCACGTTAGTTAATGCACCGTGATCTAACATGAACGAACAGAACAAAAGAAAAAAAAAGAAAATTAATTGTTTTTTTTTATATTGTTCATTGTTAGTTCATGTTAACTATTAAAAGTATTAACTGAGATTAATAAATGGCATACACGTATAGTTCCTTGTTATTTCATTTTAACAAATGATTGAACAAATCATTGTTTCAGCAGCGACTTTCAGCACGTTTCCAATAACTACGTCTGACGTTTACGTGGCGTGAGCGAAACGGACCTCCAGAAATGCAATTTGAATAGGATTTCAAACCACATATGGATGTGGCTTGAATAACATTTCATGTATTTTTTTGCTATTCACATTAGCTAATTCGCAATAATCGGATTTGAACCGACAGTCTGAACGCAGCTATATACATGCAACGTGAGAGGTCCACTCACAGGTGTGCTGGCGACCCCTCTCTCTGACGGTGGTATCATGTCAGGGCTCAGACTCTGAGGAGGGTCCACTCCTTTAACTTTCTCCTGAATCAGGTGCATGGCCAGACAGAACTGCTCTTTGGTGAGTTTACCGGTACGCTGAGTGTCCGCCAGCGACCTGCAGACCAAAACAGACAACACATGCATGAAAGATAGATAATGTGCAATATATCATAAATGCTGTTGGACAAATAAAAGAACACAAAAGGTTCATTTTGCAAGCACAGGCATGGTTTTTAAAAAGGCTGTGGGTGACTTGGCTTACATATACGGTGGCATTTTTCTGTTTAATCTCACCATATGTGTGCCAGGACGCTCTGAGGCAGCCGGGAGTTCATGAAGATATCCTTCACTTCACCTCCTCCGACCATCCCGTCAAAATCAGAGTCTGCCAGATCAAAGATCTCCTCGTACTGCTCTCGGTCATCCGCCGGCACCACCCACAGATCAGAGGACGGCTGCAAAGACATATTTAGGGGACATTTTGAATAGAGCCAGACCGATATATCGGCAGGCCGATATTAGGCATTTTCTAAAATATCGGTATCGGCAGTTATAATGGCCGATAAATGAATATTCCAAAAATAAAATAAAAATGCACGAAACACGCTTGAACCATGTCATGAGTGTTGGAGTTGTATAGTTTGTCCACCAGAGGGCGCTCTACATCGTTCCCATTGCTTGAATAACAATTAAAAGAACATCCCCATCGGTTCTCTAAACTCAAATAAGTGACAAAATTTGTGACTATCATGTCCAGTTTTGCTGCTGTTAAATAAGCCGAGAATTAGCTAGTAATAGTTACGTTGCGTTGTTACAGTGTAGTTGACTGACTGTCCTTTTAACTTTTGATGTAACTGAACTATTTCTTTAATAGCGCGTGACAGTTTTAGCAATGAGACGTATCATCTCTCCTCGGCCTGTTATATTGAAAATGTATATTTTACAATTTGCAGTATGACGTAATCCATTGCTAAATTATGGCTCATCATAGACTAGCTAACCACAAAGCTAGATAATGCCAGCTGTTGCGACAATAAAAGAAACAAGTTTCTTTTTAAAATGCATTATCATATTATTTAAGTTAAAACTCATAAATAACAACAAATAACTAATGTTAGGGAAATCTGTTAATGTTTTGTTGCGCTTTTCTGAAATAAAAAAAAAAATTAAAAAAATATCGGCCGATATATCGGAATATCGATTTTAAAACCAAAACATGTTTGTCAAAATCCTTTATCGGTCGGGCTCTAATTTTGAATCACATTTATTTTTGCAACGAGCATTATGTGAATTTTACATATGCATCTATGACTCCTAGGGGTGCAAAAAATTAACTTTTCAGAGTTTTATAGTACTATATATAACGTTGAATATAATGTATAATAATGCAATGGTGGAAAATATGTGGGTCCTGATCATTTCAAATGTCTTGTTGCATTAAATATACATTATTTTAAATATATCTAATCAGTGACAGAGTGCAAGCATATTCGTCTAAAATAATTGTGTATTTTCAGCTTCAGAATCATGAATATTGTTATTGTGGTGTCTCTATTGTGCAAGTCCAAACCTATTCATTTTTACACCCACAATGTTATACCAAATTTAGCATGATAATCACCAGTACACTTTTTGTTAACCTTTTATCATACGTCTTGGAGGACCGTAATAATATCGGCCCAAATCTAAAAATCGTGACAAACAGAGCATATTGTATAAAGACACCCAAGAATTTAGTCGTCTTTACTCTCTGTAGATTTTAATCATCAAGTTTAAGTTGTTTTTTATTTGAACAAAATATCATGTAGTTAGTTTTACTAGTATTTATAGACAATTTATTTACTCTAAACCAATTGTCGACATTTTGAAGCTCTTTGTTAAGTAATTGTTGAAGTTCAAATTAATTTTTAATGTGATAGAAACAAATTAGTGTCATCTGCAAAAATTACTTTATTTTTGTTTTCTAGATAATTAATGTAAATAATAAAGAGGAGAGGACCTAATATGGATCCTTGTGGAACACCACATTGAACATATTTGTTTTCTGATGTATGTTCGCGTATAATTAGAGTACATATTGTTGCCTCCGATATAAATAGCTCTTGAACCAATTAAGTGAGCTATTCCCACAATGCAATGCCCTTAGGGTGTGTTCAAGAAAAATTGTAGAGAAAGAAATGATCGTAATTACGAGTTGAATGCACATGTACGTCACCACAAAGTCGTAATTACGACTGGGTAACGGGTAGGGTTGGGTATCGAGAATCGAGTATCGATTGGAACCGGGAATAACTTTTCGTTTTTCCCGGAATCGTTCAAAAGTTAAAATTTCGATTCCTAGTTTCGATATTCACAGTCCGCCGAGCGGAAGAAGAAACCGCTGAACAACACCAACGAAGAAGCGTCTACCGGAAGTGTTGGCATAACCGCGCGAGTCGAACATGAGTAGCTTACGTCGGCGGTCCAAAGTGTGGCTTCACTTTTCTAAAAATAACGAAATCTCGGCAAAATGCAAAATTTGTGACAAAAGGAGTATTTGTGACAGAAGGAGTATTTCCTTCAGAAAGGATTATTTCCTTCCAAAAGACCGTTAGTTAGCAAGGTTAGCTAAACTTTTTTGACCCTGCCTCTTAAAAGAATCGGAATCGAGAATCGTTAGGAACCGGAATCGAAACAAAGAATCGGAATCGGAATCAGAATCGTTCAAATTCAAACGATACGCAACCCTAGTAACGGGTAGGGCTGTCAACTTTAGTCGTTTAGTCGACTAATCGGTCGATGCCGTCTTGGTCGACTGACATTCTTATTGGTCGACCAGTTGCATTTTTTTTTTTTTTACCAATAGAAAGAATTTTTCAATGATTTACTCCTTTATATTTATTCCTTTATAAGCAGTTATTTATTGCTGTATTGTAAATATAATTAGCCTATGTTTTGTCTTTAATTTAGGCTATTTTTTTATGTCGCGCACACACATAATACACTCGGGAACCACACCTGTGGCCGGCTGCGCTGCTGCTCGCGCTCGGTAAGGGATGCTGTATTCATTCAGTTAGAACGCTGCTTGTTTTGGCTTTAGTCGACAAAATGTCCAGGAAATCTAAATCTTTTGTCTGGCTGCATTTTAAAACAAAGACGACAAGACTGTGAAGGGCGATCGCGTTGCTCCATTACGAGCGCGCAAGTCACGCGCCTACATTTGAAATCGAACTTGAGCGCGCAAAAGACGTGAGCAGCCTTTTAACGGCTATAGACCATTTCACAAGATGTAAACAACACTGGTCCAGAAGCACTTCCTGTTTCAGTTTTTTAACACTACATAAAAGCTGGGATAAAATACAACCAACAGAACATTTAAAACTGAATCAAAACGTTAAACAAACATATTAAGATGTTTTCTTTACATGTGAAATAAAGAAAACAGTTACAAACTGAAACAGGAAGTGCTTCTGGACCAGTGTTGTTTACATCTTGTGAAATGGTCTATATCATGCTAACTCAATAGATTGTGTTTTCTTAATGTTTTCGTTTTTATTTGTACACTTGACGCATTTGAAAATAGCCTAAATAACGCAACAAAACGAAAATAAACCTATACGCGGACCTACAGCCTATTTTTAGGATTGTTTTTAAGTTATTTGGGTTTTTTGTGTGTTGTTTTAAAACGCCTTGATCGTCAGGATGAAAGTTAACCTATAGCTTTGTAAGTAAAGAAGAATATAAAGCCTGTATAAACGAGAGCTTTTGTTAGGATTTTTAATAATGTGGCAGATATCAGTTATATTTTTTGCAGCGTGTGGTGTGGTCAGGTGCGCGATTGTGACCTAGGACAGAGCTCTTCACTTTCTGCAGTTAAAAAATCACTTAATTTTCAAAGAATTTAATTATTATTATAGTTTTATTTATTTGTGATGTTTTTTCGTTGTTGTTTTGTAAATGCTCAATGACAATTGTTTAAAAAAAATTTCAATCAAAACATCACGTTTTTTTTTTTTGTCGACTAATCGTTGCGCAGGACAAGACTTTGGTCGACTAAGGATTTCTTTGGTTGACTACAGCCCTAGTAACGGGTTTTTTTCTAAGCCCTGAGTTTCAAAGTTTAGGGCGTCAATGAGAAAACGGTAACATTTTACAATAAGGTTCGTTAGTTAACATTAGTTAACTACATTAGTTAATATGAACTAATAATGAATAGCACATATACAGCATTTGTTAATCTTTACTAATGTTATTTTCAACATTTACTAATACTTGATTAAAAATCTTGTTAACATTAGTTAATGCACCGTGAACTAACATGAACAAACGATGAACAGCTGTATTTTCATGAACTAACATTAACAAAGATGAACAAATGCAATAACAAATGTATTGCTCATGGTTAGTGCATGTTAGTAAATACATCAACTAATGTTAACTAATGAACCTTTACCGAGAAAACATATCGGACGCAATGGATGCATTAATGATTAAATTATTATGATTATTTTCATTTACATAAGTTCATCATATTGAGTCATGTGACATCAAAACTATTATTTTAAAAGCACATGAATATTCCTTTCAAAACAAATGGCTTGAAGACAAAAACCTCAGTCTATAAATCTCAAATGCTTCAATGTTTTATGCTACCAGCCAGCTGATGAAGTGTAAAGGTTTGAATGAGATTTTTTTTTTAGTCACTTACTTGGTTAAACGAACTGTGGGTTGTTTATGGTTTCTAATTAATGTAGCAAATCACTCTGCATTATTTTGTAGTGACTCTATATGAAGAATGTGGTTGGACAGGTATTTGGTGTTACACAGATGCTCACCTGTGTGTGTGTTTGAGGCTGCGGTGGTGTCGGGGTGGAGCGCTTCATTGAGTTTGATGGAGACAGATTTGTGCTGCCGCCCAGAGGACTCTTGGAAAGCGCCGGCACGGGCCGCAGGGTCTCCATCATGAGGAACGGACTCGAGGGAAGAACAGGAACGGATCCCGGGAGAGCTCCTGGAAACTTCTTGCGTTTGGATGGAGGGATGAGAGATGTAGGGAGGGTGGACGGCATAGGCTCCTTCTCTCTGGCTGCATAAACCAGGCGCATCGCCTGCAATGAGCAAATAATGTGAGCTTTTATCCTATAGTTGACACAATTGACACAACAGTGTCGAATAATATCCACAAATACTTACTCGATAATCTATTTTGAGGTAAATATTGCTGTGGCTGTGTCTGAAATCACCTATATAGTGGACTATATAGTGAGGTCGCCATTTTTCAGTGCTGTCCGAATGTATAGTGATGATTATCAGGGTGCGAACTACGGGAATGGGAATATGGCATGGGCTCCCCTGAAAACATGATTCGTGAAATTTTGGGGGGTCTCAAAAAATATTGACAATGTTTTATTTTGACGTGCAATTTCAGTTTTTTGTGTAATGTGATCATCGTGGAGTATTATGTGTAAAACATCAAAAATATTTTTAATTCATGCATGACGGCGATTTAAACCTAATTCTATACATGCTATTCTTGTCATGAGCATCAATGTATGGTGGCGCTGCAGTGCAAATTCCAATCATGTTTAATACATGTGAACTCAAAGATTCGTCGAAAAAATTGATTTGAGGCCATTGATCTGCGCAAAGTCCTTGAAATCCATTCTGTGTTAGCATGTTATTCCCAATTATGTGTTGTGGCTGCTGGGGTTGTTATAGGTCTGCTTGACTCTCGATGTCTTAGGCCTAATTGAACGGAGGAATTGTGGTATTCTTCTGTAGCCGACGAGTAATTTAACCCTTGTTCAAGTGAACTCAAAGACAGCCTATATTATCAATATTGTCAATACAGTGAATCCTGTATATAGAAGAATCCGGCGAAACTACCGGAAGTAAGCGGGGCGCCATTACTGAGCTGTTGCTGGGTAGCGTTGCGCCATTGCCTTCTATTGTTTTAGTTGCAACTTGCGTCCACTGGAATAAACAGCCCGCGATTTACGACTGTGACTAACGTTGCAACGTTAGCCCTTGTATAATGTCGAGTGGGTAAACAGTTTCCGTTATAAATTGTTTCAATGGTGGCAGTAAAATTTCAATTTTGAAGGGAAAACATTGTGAATACCCCGGGTCGACTGCCCCTGTCTGGAGCCGTACGGTTTACACAGATTTCCTGGGCGAGTACAAGACGAAGACATTCGCGTATAATAACAATTATTTAATGACATAAGTAAAAAAATATAATAAATATGTGATATAGTGATCAGCAAAATCTCCTCTCCTGCTATTTTTTCTATTCAATTAACATGCTATGGTCATTAAATGGCTTTCCTGAGCTAAATGTAACGTTATGTGACATAATTGTTTTCCTGCTGTTATATTGACCTCTTTCCATGGTTTAAAAACAGTAGTTGGTCGATATTATGTATACTTTCTAGCTGTAACGTTACCTTACCCTTGCCCATTGCAATGTGAAAATAAGATAAATAATGGACACAAATGAAAAACATGAATTTGTTTATTTGATTTCATTCATTTATTTATCGTTGCCAAATGGACAGATCTTTTTAATAGTTTAGCAAACGTTAGCCTAGCTAGCTTGCCAAGCTATTTTCATAAATAACGTTAATCTGTAAGATCGTTTGTACCTTCATCTGTGACTGGAGGCCACTGCAGTCATAGATGAAACCAACAAGTCATTCTGCCTGGCTGTAGCTGTCATCGAGGGTGCATTCGTGTTATCACCGAGGTTTGTTTACATACCGGTGCATATGTCTATGCCGGTGTAACAGCTCAGTAATGGCGTCGCCACAAGATGGCAGCCTACACAGAACGCTCGGCGGATTCGTCTATAGTGCTTGCATACACTTGTAGCTGTTATGTATCTTTGGAAGTCCTTGAAATGAATGGGTTTAGCGCTGCGCATTCTGCATTCAGTCTGAAAGGCGTTTAAATCCTTTGCACGCGCAAGTGCATGAACCGGGGGTAGGGAGTAGTGGTTTGAGTGGAGATTTCGGACCCAGCGGGTGGCTTATATCTTCTTTGCCGTTACGCATATGTGCTCGGAAAGACTGTTTTGTGTTTGAGCGCCCCCAAGTTGTGTTTTACTGTAACTTCAGAAGCTCCAGACACATGAGCAGAAAGGCCAATCTCATTGGTCGAATCGGTCAAACCAAAAAAACGAGCCCGAAGCGTTTTAAAAAAATAAATAAATAACGCTTTTACGCGTGGCGTTTTTCGCGTCGGTGTGCACACTCACATTGGCGTCCTTTGTTTAGTCAAGAAGCATTAAACGTCTGCGAATATGACGTGCGAAATTCGCAACAGGCCTTTAGAGGTTTCACATCATTAACCCCGAGTGCTAATAATAAAAGCACATTAGGTGGTATTTTGTTTGATGCATGATTTGACTCACCACTGAAAACTCATCTTTATCCAAGTGTCCATCTTTGTCAATGTCACTGAGATCCCAAATCTACAAAACAAAGAGATAAAAAGTTGGAAAAAAAATCAAAAGATCTAAACAACATTAAAAAGTACATCAAATACTAGCATTTTTTTTATATTCTAAGAAAGTCTGAATTGGTCATTTTTGGAACAAACAATTTCAGACCTTTATTATTACACTTTTTATTTCTGTATATATACAGTACACTACTGTTCAAACGTCAGTAAGTTTAAGTTTAATTCCTGTCTTCAGTGAGTAATGATCTGAATATGATGATTTGTTGCTCAAGAAACATTTATGATTATTATCAATTTTAAAAACAGTTTTCGCTGCTTCATATTTTTTCAGCATTATTTGATGAATAGCAAGTTAACAATTCATTTGAAATCTTTTGTAACATTTTGAATACCTTTACAGCCACTTCTGATCAATTTAATGCCTCCTGCTGAATAAAATATTATTTCTTTTTTTTTTAAATATTATTTCTTTTCACGTTTAGTGTATGTTTTTAAAGTAAAACGTTTCTAAACAATTACCAAACATTTCTAATATCAATGTATATTCTTATCCATGTGTATTGTTGGTATAGTGAATGAACGCTGTACGATTTTTTGTTAGCGGCCTAGGGACTGCAGATGAAAACTAGTATCTTTTTTACTAATTCTGGCATATTTACGTGGTGTATTATCATAAAACAATGTTCATAAATAATATGCACGGTCCCTATCAAATAAACTAATAAATAAATATTTATGTGGCTGATTTCACTTGAATCCAATTCTAGATTAAAACTGTAAATGCTGTTTATAAAACTAAACCAACAAAAAATATAAAACAATGGCCATAATATCAGTAAATATCAGTAAAAATGAACAGGTTATCGATCTAAAATGTCAATAACAGTGCAGACATTCACCTTTCCAAGCACATCGAGAGGCAGGTTTGAGTTCATTAGGATTGGTTTCACTTTATCACCTGACAGCATCCCACCAACTGGACACAGACTCTCAAATATCCCATCATACTTTGCTTTATCTTCCGGCTGGTGAAGTCAAACACAGCGGAAAAGAGAATCAGTTTTCAATCACAAATTTCATTTTATTCCAGTAATTCTGTACCTTCACTATCCAGTTGGAGTCAGCGACAGAGGTTGTGATGTTCAGCGACGGGCTGCCGGTGTCTCTCTGCAAAACACACAGACGCTTTTACCCAAATCAGCATGCAAACGCATTAACTGCGATTAACTGTCAACATCAGTGACCATATTCAACTGGTTGACAATGATTCGAGATATTTTAAGTAGGGCTGAACGATTAATTGCATTTGCGATAAAATCGCGATATGATGAAACGCGATTTCGTAATCGCAAGAGCTGCGATTACACTGGTCACGCGAGAGAAAAGCAGTCTGCAAGATAAACCATCAACTTGCCACGCTACGCGGTCAGGCGTTCAGAAAAGAACAGTTTATTTTTAATGTATGTGATATTGTGTTATTTATTCTCTAAATAAAATTAATAATAAATTATTCAGCCTACTTTTAAATACTGAGACCACTCTTTGTTTATTGCTTGTAATGTTTTTTTTGTTTGTTTCTCTTTATTTACTAGCTTTTATATTTTAAAGCTATATTATTTTATATAGCCTATTTAAAATTCTTAACATGTAATTGGTTTAATTAAATGTTTTTTTTTAAAGTATGTGTTTTTACACATGTAATTAAATACATATTTTAAGAGTTATTAAGATTAATTAAAAAGAAAAAAAGTAGATCGGATCATGAGCTATCTAAAGATTCCCATCCCTACTGTACAATGATTTATTGCTTGTCTTTGTCGACTAATACAGAAGGTAAATAACTTTTTTTTTTAAATCGCATATTAAATCGCAATCGCAATATTGGTTAAAAAAATCGCAATTAGATTATTTTCCAAAATCGTTCAGCCCTAATTTTAAGGATGTGACACATTATCCACAAGCAAGTGTTCACCACATGTTTCATATTACACAGGCTATTCAGATAAAATCTACAGATTAATATATGTGCAATCACTGATATCCAAAGTGACAAGACTCACAAATTTAGGGATGGGTGTGTTCTGGCTCAGACTGTTTAGACTGACATCACTTCCTCCTTGAGCAGAAGCCACCAGCCTCAGCGCAGTAAAGAAACCCTTAATGGAGAATACAGTTAAACTCAAAATGCCAAAAATTAACTGCAGATAGCTTCACCTAATTAATAATTAAAGTAAAGTTATGTCATCAAATGAAGAATTCAGATGCAAAAGCCTCTAAATGCCATTTGAAATGTTCTTCTTGAATGATGATTTTTATCAAACTTGTATATTTAAGTTCAGTAATTTCACTTAAATAACAATTAATAGGCAATCATCATTGCCATTTAAGTGAAATCACTGAAGTTAAATATACAAGCTTGATAAAAATCATCATTCAAGAAGAACATTTCAAATGGCATTTAGAGGCTTTTGCATCTGAATTCTTCAAATGTTTTTTTTTTGGTTAACACACCCTAAGACTCCAATCGAATGAAGAGCTGATATGAAATTATATAAATATGACGGCAAAGATCATTTGCGAATGCCTATTCTGACATGAATCAGTTGTATTTACCTTTTTATCCAAGTAACCTTTTCCCTCAGGATCTGACAGATCCCAGATCTGCAAAGAAAGGAAAAGACACACAGTCATTTCCTACCGTGCCAGGGCTCCAGACTAACTTTTTGCCTTTGTTGCAGTGGTGCGCCTAACTTTTTTATTTAGGTTTACCAGCACAAAATTTAGGTGCACTCAAATTTTTTCTCATCTCGTATCACTTTTAACGCCACAATTTGAAGGCCTTTTTATCACGCTCCATATATTCATATATATTATGTAAATGCTTTTAAAAAAGAATAAGATGTAGTTTTTTTTCTCACAATTACACTGTATATAAAAATACAAATCTTTAAAAAAAAAAATTAAAGTGCTGTTTTTACATTGTTCAAGTTAGGGCAGGGTATTGACACCAATTTCACAATTCGATACAATATTGATTATTTTGGATATCAGGCACAATTCATGGCAAATTTTCACAAGGAAAACAAATCTCAACTAATGCTGTAAACTGGGAGTCAGTTGTCCTACTATAATATTGAAGGTAAAAATTACCTGATTTGTACACAAACACTTAAATTACGCTTTTATTTTTTTTTTATAATAATAATGTTATATGAAATATAAACATTTAAATGGTGGCTGCATAAAAACTTGCCAGATTTTTTCAAATAACATGCATTAAATATTGAAAAACATTAAAAATTATAATGAATACGTAATATGGTTCATGTTACGAAAAATTTTGGTCGCACTCTAGAGCCCTGCGTGCTGCATCTCAAGGCTTTCAGACGTTCAGAGATGTGATTATTGTCTCTCACCTGACCCAATGTGCTGTCTGAAAGACCCGATTTCTTCAGGAACTGAGCGGCATCTGCAGCGCCCACTTTCCCAGTGTTTCCTGGATCCACCTAAAACACAACAGGCCATCAGTGTCAGGAAATAAATGTAATATATTCATATCATACGGATTTATTATCGACATTGGGAGCACATAATAATATCAGGGCTTTATTTAAACAGCATTTGTAATTTCCGGAAATTTCTATACAGGTTGAATTTACCTGTCTGTAGAAGCTCTCATATGTAGGGTTTCCACTTGATAGCTGCATAAATATGAATGGAAAATTAATAATAGGAAAAGAACAGTCAAATCAAACACTTTACAATAAGGTTTCATTATTAACCAACAACGAAAATACTTCTAAAGGCGTTATTAATCTTAGATGATGTTTAATTAAAATCAAATGTTGTATCTGTTAATATTATGAGCTAACAATGAACAGCTTAATAAATACTGTGTGTAATAAATGTTTAGCTTATTAGTTACTGCATTAACTAAAGTCAAATAATAAGAAAAGTGTTGGTAAAGTGTTATTAATGAACTTGCCAGTTTGTGTGAACAGCATAAAGCTTGTCAAAAACATATTTGGGCCATAGAAAAAGAAGGAAAGGTGTATTTGTATACCATTGAGTACCAAATATTTATATTGCAGCATTTATTTTCATTAAAAAATAAGCACAATGTTTGGCTATCACTTTGCAATTGTTATTATTCATGTTGATATTTGTCAATAGATTACAGTCATATGATTCTTCCAGAAAATAGCTGGATGTATAAATTATGTATGATTAATGGAAGGGGCATTGATGACGTCACATAATGAAAACCGGTTTCTCTCTTTAAAGAAACTGTAAACAACCGGACTGCTGACATAACACATAAGACCTCACGTTATATTTATCAACAACATTCTGAACAATTCACTGCTGTCACTGACAGTAATCATAAACTGAGATATTTCGTATCAGTTTCGTAGACAGCTGTCAAGACATTATAAGTAAGTCAAAAAGTTGCAAAACAGCGTCCTTGGAAGCGCAGATCGGTCAGTAATCAATTCCTGTACGTCGATAAAATATATTGCTAGACAAAATTTAATAGAATATATAAGACATTATTTGCTAACAACAATCGATTACCGCGCGCGTTTCACATGAGAAACCAGCGTTCATGCGTTTATACTTAACGTTAAACTAGACGTAACAGCCTTTTATACAATCAGAGAACATAAGTAAAAAAAAAAATATCTGAAAATTTATTTTAAATTTCGATCCTAATCAACTTTTAAAGTCAGATTACCTGACTGAGTGGAGTGAGCGCCGCCATATTTCCTGATTCACGAGCACGCGCACAGGAGGAGTCTCGTCTCGTGAGCGCGTACAGACAATGTCAAATCGTGGAGAAAAAAAGTTACCAATTGATTAAATATCACATAATTGATATGATAGTGGTGGTTAATTTCACTAAGTTATATTATCTTTAAATAAATTATTTTATAAATCTCAGACTCTCAGAACCACAAATCTCAGAATGTGGACGAATATTTCAACCATAGATGACATCCATAGACTGTAAAAAATATGATGTCAACACTGCAGGTAAAAAATAAATAAATAATAATAATCAGGTAAAAAAAAAAAAAACTTTATTAAGCTTTATGAGGCTAAACATTTTCATCTTTTTTAATTATTATTGTTTCAAAAATAGAAATAAAATAAAACAACTTCACATCATCAGTTTAATCATTATTTTACCACTAAAATATAGAATTTTTCCTTAGTCTGCTTAATAAAGCTTTAAGCTTACTAATATTTTAGTAGGGGAAAAATAACAATTTATTACATGTATGCTTAAATTAAAAAATACTGTTATTTATTTTAAGGAGTCTTTTTTTAAACTGTAATTATACATTTAAGTACTGAGTAATATTAAATAACTATATACATAATATAGGGTTTGGTTATTTGCACAATTATGCATAATTTATATAGTTATTAGCCTATTATAGTAACTGCATGCAACATGTTATAATGAGAGTGTAATAATAAAGTGTTACAGACATACTTACATCCAACCAGTTCACTTCACAGTATTCTGCTGTAAAATGTCTCCATCTTGTGAAGCAGCTATGGAAATGCAAGACATCTGGGGGAAAAAAATGATCTAATAAGGACACCTGTCTTGTGGATATAAGTGATGCAAGCAACTGCCATGTTCATGTATTAGTCTATTACTGTTTATTTTACCAGCTTGTGTGCAGTTCAAATGATAAAAGGGGGTTTTAATAATGTTTTGAAGCAGATAGATTGTTGGAGAATCTGTCTCACATGAGCAGATATGTGTTGCTTCCAATCTTTTTACAGGAGTTTGACTCGGTTTGAAACAGGAACACTCTTGTAAAGCTAAACAGAGATATAATTTAAGATTTTTAAGTGCAATTTATATTATGAACCGCAAAAATTTAGAGTAAAGCCTCATATGGGAAATGTGTGTTAGTGTATTTACATGCACAAATGTTAAGATATCCACTTCATGTCTTCTTTCGGTGTGAATAACCATTCATGAACTATATCAAAAGTTCTGGAGTGTGAAACCATAATGTGCTCAAACTCTCAAAATATTACAACCACATATACAATAAAGTTATTTATTAAAACTTTGGCATTAATTACAACTCTCAACATGTAAAAAGCTGGCTTAACGTCACTAAACAGGATTTTCAGTACTAATCCAATTTGAACATCACAGTGTGTAGACAACTAGTTTATTTTAACGTGGTCTTGCTGCAAATATTACCACATCCCTTATTGAAGCTCATTTTTGTTCAAGTAACAAAAGATTTTATTAAAAAAAAAAAAGAAAAGAGAGATTTACATCAGCTACAAGCTGGACATCACAAATGTTACCGCCGCTGGATTTCTGTAAGGTAAAACGAGCTCAAACTGCAAGACATTTCTGTTGTAATAAATAGAGCTGGAAAATAAACTGAATATCTTGTTTAGGAGATTAATAACAACCACAGCACATAATAACAGAAAAAAAAAAATCAGTGCCAAAGGAACATTATGCCATTGTGAATTTCATTTGCACTACAGTACAAACATTCATTGGTCCTTATTTATGAAACGCAAGCAAAAGTAATTTATGTAAATCGTTCATAACTCACTTTGCAACAATTTACACAAAAACGATTTTGTTCTGCTCATGTTTCAGAAACGAGGTCCATTGGAACCCAGCCTGTGATCCGATTAATCTCTTATTGATAACAATAGGTAAAAAAAAAAATCAACATTCTCTTCTATTCCGCTGCATTGCACTTTGCGCTCATCACATTTTTGCAATGTGGAGAAACAACTGTGTAACATCGTTTACTTAAACTGTTATTCATGTAAACTTCATGAATTCCCTCCAATCCCTTCAAACCAACTGAATTGAACTGCCACCAACAACGTTAACTAATATTGGCCATCGATTTTGCAAACATGAAAGGCACAATAAACTGATCTTAGATCAGTACTCGAAGATGTTGCACATATCAGACTCCTGGTACCATAGAGGAAAAGACAATTCGTAAAAAAACCAACAACAAAAAAATAAAACAGGTTTAATTGGCTCATTAATGGTTGCAAATTTAATGTATGGGCTGAGAACTCCCAGACGCCCTTTTGACCCTGTATGACATCACGCATGACATCATAAGTTCCGTCTCTAAGAGTGTCATGTTTAGAATGAATGCACTGCAGTCGTTTCCCTGGCAACCGCGGAATGTGGACGATAAACGCTTCCTGCTTTACAGTTCATCTTTAGGAAGCGCATCATCATCATCATCATCATCTCCTTCCTCCACTGGAGGCTCGTCCTCCTCTTCCTCCTCCTCTCCTTCATCATCCTCACCCTCATCTGCTTCTGTGCTCTGCTCTTTGTTCTTCTCCTCCTCCTCTTTGCGTTTCTTCTCATCCTGTTCCTCCTTCATTTTCTTCTCTGGATCCTGTGGCATGACAGACGATTTGTCAGAATGTATTTTTATTGCTTATTAATAACCCTTCAAGTGTCACTGACATTCAAAATAAATTACAGAGGAGCCGTAATTTATCAATTTGCAACAAGAATATTTTCATACTCCTAAGGCGTGTTCAGACTTTTATTTTGAAATGGTAATGAAGACGAAAAATCATGAAAGAAGGGTAGATTTAAAAAAAATTCAGACCTTTTTTTTCTAAAATAATTGAATGGATGCTAGCTCAAAAGATAGCATCCATTCAATTATTTTAGAAAAAAAAGGTCTGAATTTTTTTTAAATAATGCACATGTGTGCTCTTTTTATGCGTTTCTTAGAGGTTGAATTCATATCACAATTGGCCAAACCTCTCATACTACTAAATAGGATGTCTACTTCATAATGGCATAATGGAAATAATGGTTTATATCACTTAAAACACATATGGAAATGGCGGCCCCTTATATGGGCAGTGATGGAGTCTGGTTGTGCCCTAGTGGAAGTGTTCGGTACTGCAGACAAACGCACTCTCACTCAAAGCTTTTTTTTTTTTAGATATAAACCTAAAATTTTAAAATACAACTTGTTCATATATTTGGCTTTGACTTTTTTCCAGTTTTAAAGTCACCCAGGTTTTGAAAAAATACATTTTATATAAAATGTGAATAATTAAACTCAAACTTCTATAACTTTTTTTTCTGTTTCACTTTCTTTCTTCATTAAACTTCTACAAAAATCTGCCAAATTTCTTCTTTAAAACGAGACCAATCTTACATCTATATTCCAAAGCATTCTTGAATTACAACCATTTAAGTTCAAAATATGCATTTTCATGTCTATTAAAAAAAATGGGGGTGACACTTAAAGGGTTAAGATATTCACTAGTTTAGCAACATGCTAAAATTGCAATACACTCAATCTGTAGAGCGTTTCAAACCAAATACTGATCTTGTACCTTTGTGGCACCCCATGTTTCATTTCCGAAATCCTCTGCTTCCTTCACATCATCGCAGATGAGGAAGTTGTCAAAAATAGTGCCAGACTTCACCTGGAGTGACAAAACATGATTAACAAGAGCATTGTATACATGCACTTCATTATTTCTCAATGAACCAACAGTAACAATATTGTAATATCTTTTAAGCAAGTTGTAATTGCTGCCCGACACATTCATTGTGTCCGTTTCACTGATTACATGTGTGTGTTTTGTGAAAAGGGCTATACAAATAAACTTGAATTTAGCTAAATTTGAGGAAGTGGTTATAAATATGGATAATTTTCTTACAAAATACACACTTTAAGGCCTTTATAGACCCACTGGAGCCATATGGATTACTTTTATGATGGATTGATGCACTTTTTTGGAGCTTTTTGGATTGTGTAATGCTGAAAGAAGCAATTCTGTACATAAATTATGGGATCATTTACATTTTTTCTATTCCTTTAAGTGAAGAAATTCATAATCACACTGACATGATCTTTCATTTTTAAAGTTTTTGTAAATTTGATTGTGTTTGTCATTTTAGTACATCAAGTTAAACTAAATAGAAATGAGAAATGTTTCCCTAGTATTTTGTTTTAGTTAATAATTATTTTACTTAATTATTAAGACTAACTATTAACTAATTCCTCTGAAATGGCTTAAAGGTGTGAGAGGAACCAGCATTTAGTGATGGTAGCAAAACAGACTATAAAATGTTTAATTCAAGATATAAAATTCACTAATAATCTAGTTAAATACACACAACTGGTGCCACAGTTAAAAAGTAGTAAATATATAATAAAAAAAATTCACAATTTGCCATTTAATATATGATTATATAGTGAATATTCAGTAAAGCACGTATGAAGTCGTAAATATTAATAACAGGATCAATTTTAGCATTTAATATTCAAATATTAAATAAAATAAGGAATGGAATTCGAATAGTATTGTAGAGGAATATTGACAGCCCTATTGTAAATGTTAATAGGATACAGCAAAAGTTTTCATAATAAAGAAAATAATGGCCATACGGTAACACCAAGGCATTCTCTAACCTGCCAGAGATCCAGACCAAGGACTCCGATGCTGTCGAACTTGTAGATTTGGGAGTCAGGAGTGTATTCGGGGTTGTCGATCTCAGGATGAACCCAGACGCCCTTGTAGTTCGGGTTGTCGATCTGTTTGGGTTTCCACTCCCCCTGCACCGTCACAAAATTAGTAATTACCCTTCGAAGTCCACACCAAGAAAACATTTTTTGTTTGCATGTCGCTAGTAACCACACTCAATGGATTTTTTTTTCAACACATCCCATAATTATTTTAATATGGGCCTCTACCAAATGGTTGAAATGTTACGGAGGCGTATTGCATTCACTTGAAGAAAAAAATTTTTTTTTTGCTCTGTTTTTCTGAATTAATGAGTTAATTTTTCATGAGAAAAAAAAATATTTTGCTCTGTTTTTCTGAATTAATGAGTTAATTTTTCATGGAATTTTTTTTTTGCTCTTTTTTCTGAATTAACGAGTTAATTGAGAAAAAACAGAGCAAAAACTTTTTTTCTCACGAACAACAGAGAAAAAAATATTTTCTCATGAAAAATTAACTCATTAATTCAGAAAAACAGAGAAAAACTTTTTTTCTCATGAAAAATTAACTCATTAATTCAGAAAAACCAAGCAAAAAAAATTCTCATGAAAATTTACTCATTAATTCAGAAAAACAGAGCAAAAAAAAATTCTCATGAAAAATGAACTCATTAATTCAGAAAAACAGAGCAATTTTTTTTCTCATGAAAAATTAACTCATTAATTCAGAAAAACAGAGTAGAGATTTTTTTTTCTTCAAGTGAATGCAATACGCCTCCGTACAATACGCCTCCGTAAAATGTCACTTAACGGTAAAAAAAAAAAAAAATGGTCCCGGAATTCATACACATGCTTTGCCATACTTTTTCATTTCCCATCATAATTTATGATCAAATTCTTTTCTAGTCTTGACAAAACACATTGTCGGAAAGGGTTCCATATTTTGTGACAGAAGTGATATTTAGACAGAAATTTATTAATTTGTTAGAGCAGAATGCATAAATTAAATGTCATTATTTGGTATCACTTCTATGTTTGTGATATCAACTTCAAATTTGGAACACAACTTGGTTAAATATATGGCTTTGATTTTATAGTAAAAAATATTTTTGTAAAATAATAAAAGAAAAAATATTAAGTACAGTATATTTGATTTAATATCAGCAGTGTTTTCTTTAAAACAAGACTAAACTTAGGTCTTTATTCCAAAGCATAGTTGAATTACAACCAAGTTTTAATAGTGCATTGTAATGTCCATTCTCAAAAAGGGGGCTGACTGTTAACCGTTATGTGCCAAATCAACCGTTCGGTTGAGCATGTTTTTGAAAAATTATTAAAAACATAATTAAGTTTTTTCATGCAACCAAGTAACATAATTTTGTAACGTTAGGGCTCTTATGAATATGTAAACGAAATATGCTTCGCAGTGCAAAATGAACAAATCTTTTCCGAACGCTCATCACAGAACAGAGCAAGGCGAGCATTTGAGCTTATAAAACCTAAACTTTGTTATTTATTTTTGAAATGAGTGATTGTTTCGCTAGATAAGACCCTTATTCATCGTCTGGAATTGTTTAAAGCCCTTTGAAGCTGCACTGAAACTCATTTGGACCTTGAACCATTTGGTCCCCATTGAAGTCCATTATATGAAGAAAATCCTGGAATGTTTTCATCAAAAACCTTAATTTCTTTTCGACTGAAGAAAGAAAGACATGGACATCTTGGATGACATGGGGGTGAGTCAATTATCAGCAAAAGTTTTTTTTAAAGTGAACAACTCCTTTAAGTCAGGTCCTCCTCTCAATAAAATATAGTGACTCAAAATTGCTGAACCGTTTGGTTGACCAGAGGCCTAAAACACTGAGGAAGACGCAACAGAACTATCTAGAAGGAAAATCCGAACCTTGTACTCTGGGTTTGGTATCACGGCAGGTTCCCACTCTCCATCCATATCCTCATCCCAGTCCTCTGGCTTCTTGGCATCAGGATCAGGAATATTCTCAGGCTTATCCCAGTCCTGACAACATCAGACAGCAGAGCTCATGAAACGGTCATTGGTGACATCAATCAAGATCATTCAGACAGAATCAAACCTCAGGTTTGGTGTCGGTCTCGTCGTCGATCTTAGGACGGTCGTCCCAGTCCTCGGGTTTCTTGGCTTCAGGGTCCTTGATCGTCTTTGCGGGAAGAAAGTCCCAGTCCTCCTCCAGAGAGCCGGACTCCACCTTCTCGTTGTCGATCTTCACCACGTACGTCTGATCCGGATTCAGGATCAATGTGTACAAGTGAGTCAATTCATCATCCTGGAGAGAAAGACGGAGATCATTTAGTGTTCAAAAAGATACAGATACTGTCAAACATCCCAGCATGCATTTATCACTCTTCTTTAAATATTCTCACAGAGAGTGCGAGTTTCCGTTTTTAGTTTTTCTTAATAGCAGCACTTTATACAACACAGAAATTTTCAAAGCAGCATCACATTAATAAACAGGAAACAATAGTGTTAATGTTATAAAATTCAGCAAATGTGAAACAAGTCGCTCTACGGAAGATAATAGTGTCATTATTCAGCTCAATTTAGTTCTCGAACATCATAATAGATAACGTTAGATAAGCGTGGGCGATCTTGCTAAAATTTCATGTCATGATCCACGACCTGAATCATGATCTTCCCAATTTTAAGATGTACTATCAAGAATATCCAGACTGGGACAAGCCTATCATGGACTTTATCTATTTTATTACTAGTTATTCAGTCGAGAGCAGGGAGTGAGTTTGTCTTTTGCTCAACATTAAAGGGTTAGTTCACCCAAAAATGAAAATTCTGTCAGTATTTACTCACCCTCATGTTGTTCCAACCCCGTAAGACCTTCGTTCATCTTCGGAACACAAATTAAGATATTTAGGATATTAAGATCGCTCCTGCATACAGTCCATAGACTTCTTGAGGGACTGGCTCTTGCTGTCCTCGAAAAGTCATGAAAGACATCGTTAAAATAGTCCAAGTGACTACAGTGGCTCAATCTTAAGTTTATCAAACGACGAGAACACTTTTGTGCGCAAAAAAACAACAAAAATAACAACTTTATTTCAACTATTCGTTTCTGCGCGAGTCAGGTTACTAGTTTAATAGCGTAAGCTTCTGTTATTGTACGTCACACGTATCACACACACATGACCAGCATCGGCCAATAGTGAGCCTACGTGTGACGTAGCTCTACGCAATCACACTACGTTAACTGACTTACAGGCTCATGGAGAAGGAAGTGAATAGTTGAAATAAAGTCGTTATTTTTGTTGTTTTTTTGCGCACAAAAGTGTTCTCGTCGTTTGATAAACTTAAGATTGAGCCACTGTAGTCACTTGGACTATTTTAACGATGTCTTTCATGACTTTTCGAGGACAGCAAGAGCCAGTCCCTCAAGAAGTCTATGGACTGTATGCAGGAGCGATCTTAATATCTTAAATATCTTAATTTGTGTTGCGAAGATGAACGAAGGTCTTACGGGGTTGGAACAACATGAGGGTGAGTAAATACTGACAGAATTTTCATTTTTGGGTGAACTAACCCTTTAATGACACAGACAGCAGCATTAGGCTTTAAGACGCAACCGATTTCTTTCCCAACTGTTTTTTCCATTTAATACACACCTGACTATTTTATATAAATACTTGAATTTTGACATATTTGTGTGTATATTTGAGCGTTTAGACGCGCACCTGAAACCTCAAGCACACAGGTGAAACTCGAAAAATTAGAACATCGTGCAAAAGTTCATTTATTTCAGTAATTTAACTTAAAATGTGAAACTAATATATTATATAGACTCATTACATGCAAAGTGAGATATTGCAAGCCTTTATTTGTTATAATTTTGATGATTATGGCTTGCAGATATGAAAACCCCAAATTAGAATATTGTGAAAAGGTTTTCATATCTGTAAGCCATAATCATCACAATTATAACAAATAAAGGCTTGCAATATCTCACTTTGCATGTAATGAGTCTATATAATATATTAGTTTCACCTTTTAAGTTGAATTACTGAAATAAATGAACTTTTGCACCATATTCTAATTTTGAACTTGGGGTTTTCATAAGCTGTCAAAATGCCATCCATTTATAATTCAATTATAACGAGGATATAAAAGATCACAATCTCTACAATTTGCTTGAAAAGTGTATTTTTGGACGTCTTCGAGATTGATCATGATATAAAAATCACCAGGACGCCCTAGTGTCAGTGCATTAAACAGATTTTCTTTTAAATCCATGACTATTCCTGATTTAATATCCCTAACTCACCTTGCATTTGATCTCTTTCTTGATGAGGTGGTTCTTGCCTTTGTAGTTGAAGATGACGTGAACCTTCTTGGTGCTGTAGCCGCAGATATCAGGCCCTGTTGACAAGAAAATATACATAAATTACCACACCAAAGACTATACAGTATATATTCTTAAAGACACATGAATCCATTTACATAGACTTTAAAGGAGTAGTTCACTTTAAAAAAAACTTTTGCTGATAATTTACTCGCCCCCATGTCATGCAAGATGTCCATGTCTTTCTTTCTTCAGTCGAAAAGAAATTAAGGTTTTTGATGAAAACATTCCTGAACTTTCTCCATATAATGGACTTCAATGGGGTCCAAACGGTTCAAGGTCCAAATGAGAGTTTCAGTGCAGCTTCAAAGGACTTTAAACGACACCAGACGATGAATAAGGGTCTCATCAAGCGAAACAATCGGCCATTTAAAAAATAAATAACAAAGTTTAAGTTTTATAAGCACAAATGTTCGCCTTGCTCTGCGCGTTCGTGACTCTGTTCGAACTCGTTCATCAAAATGAACGAATCTTTTTTTGAGTCATTTGGTTCATTCAATGAACGAAATTAATGAATTTACTTGAAAAAAGATTTGTTCATTTTAATGAATGAGTTCGAACAGAGTCACGAACGCGCAGAGCAAGGCGAACATTTGTGCTTGCAAAACTTAAACTTTGTTATTTATTTATTAAATGAGCGCTTGATAAGACCCTTATTCATCGTTTGGTGTCGTTTAAAGCCCTTTGAAGCTGCACTGAAACTCTCATTTGGACCTTGAACCGTTTGGACCCCATTGAAGTCCATTATATGGAGAAAATTCCTCTTTTCGACTGAAGAAAGAATGACATGGACATCTTGGATGACTATATTATCAGCAAAAATTTTCAAAAGTGAACTACTCCTTTAGCTAGAGAATCTTGGTCGACGTACCGAACATGACGTAATACTGGGAGTCTCCGTGCAGGTCAGCCTGGTTGAGATCGGATGGGAAGACTTTGACGTACCCGCCTCCGCAGTCGATCTTCTGCTCGTGTTTTACGGTAAACTGGATCACCAGAGTTTTGCCCTCATTGCTGAAGGGATCGAAGCGGGCCGAGGTGGCGTAGAAACGGGCATCCTGACTGGTCTGCAGCCCTGTTCAAATCACGGAGATTCAAATCATCATTCGTTTCTTTGCTGAAACGAAGTAGGCGTTTTTTTAATCATATGCGAGCGCTTACCCTGGTCTTTCTCAGCATCTCCGTAGAAGTTTCCAGCGGTCAGTTTAAACTGCCCGTAGTCAGACTTGTGCTCGGAGTTCACCCATCGACTCTTCCAGGCATCTGAGAATTCAGAGAATAAGGTTAAAGCACAAAAAAAAAAAAAACAAGTTCATTTTACATCTCATCCTCAATTAACTTCCCAGCCCAAATTGCACAAGAAGGTATTTTTTCTAGCTCTTGATCTATGAACTTGAAGAGGAAATGAGAGGAATTTATGCGTTGACACATTCCCCACGCATTTAATGAATATATAAGGAAGTTTGTGGAATAATAAAGTTGGCAAGAAACTTCCTGTTCTTGCAAACTCCTTAGATAGATACAAACAGTTTGCATGTACAAATGCAAGTTTTGCTTTTATTTTGCATTAGTAAAAATATGTGCCTAATATACTGGTCTGGCATGAAGTTTAAATACAAAGTTATCTTGTGAAATATACAACACAATTAGACAAGGCCTTGGTTGATGACAACCAAGTAAATGCAATGTACATAATTTGATATTTTCTATTCCTGTCCAGCTGCAGGGGCCCAATGGGTGTGTCCTTCTCTTTGAAGAGAGCTTTTTATTGGACAAACATTTGGACACGCCCCTGGGGGCATGATGAGTCATCAGAAGCTTTGGTCAGTTTTTGGGAAAATTGCAAAAAAAATTTGTATTAATACTATTAATTATGTCGACATTTAGGAGGAGTACAACCAAAGAAAATACAACCAACTACACTGTATAGGATAACTACAGTTACATTTAATATATAAACGGAATATTTTTAACCTATAATTCTATTTTCTTAAAATTAAATGAACCCAATTACTATAATGCACTTCTTCAGTACGAAAGAAAGAAAGAAAGAAAGAAAGAAAGAAAGAAAGAAAGAAAGAAAGAAAGAAAGAAAGAAAGAAAGAAAGAAAGAACGAAAGAAAGAAAGAAAGAAAGAAAGAAAGAAAGAAAGAAAGAACGAGAAAGAAAGAACGAGAAAGAAAGAGAGAAAAAGAAAGAGAAAGAAAGAAAGAGAAAGAAAGAATGACTTTGTAATGGTTTCATGTTTGTTCTGGCAAACTATGCATAAACCAATACTGCTAATAAGTAATAAGATTCACTTTTCTAGCAAAACAAACGTATAATTAAACATCCCACTCTATTAATGTTTCATTCAACAACACATTTTAATGTCACTCATTAATGTTGTGACCTACAAATTAACCATGACACGTTAATGGTTCACTTACCCCCGTCCAGAAACTGCTCTTTAAAGTACACCTCTGCATTGGCAGCCAATGCCAATAATGCAGCAGAAACAAATTGGAATAAAGTAATTATTTGCATTTTCGATAATTTGTGGAATTAAGCCCGCACACTCCCTCTCTCTCGTGCTCGCGCTCTGCTCTCGGGGTTTATCCGTGGCTCGGGAGAAGCGCGTGGCTGCACAGATGTCTGTCGCTCATTGGTCCACAGCGGGCGCTCTCGACCAATCACAAGAGACCACGAAGTGCATGTCTCGCCTTCACACCGGATATTGTATCCGCCACTTGTGCTGTTCTCCGATCAGCTGTGATTGTACACACTGACCTGCGGCCTCGTCGTGTGATTGGACAGTACCGACTCAGGATCAGTTTCTATGACAACGCCTCTGTGTGGAAATCTCACTCAACCGGCCAAGACGAGTACGCGGAAAACGGTTCCTAAACAAACACTTCTATGTGTTTTCCTCTAAATATAGCCTGCTCTTCTCAGCTTTATCTGTAGACTTTGAGATGATGAAACTGTGAAAGACAATAAGTTACACTGCGTATTGTGTTTTAACCCCATTCAGAAACGTATGCTGTGTCTACAATGACACTTCAAAGTTCAAACTGAGATGGTAAAATATGTTAAAAATATTATTTTGTTTAGATAAATTAGGTCAAACCAAGACATTTCTAAAACGTATGAAACATTAAAAACCTTTAAATAGGCCTGAAGATACACTCCGTATGTTTATTTGGGTTAATTTGCCATCTGTGTTTGAGATTGCCAACGTTTCAAGGCGGATCAGGATCATGTGGATCACAAAGCTGCAAATCTAGATTGTATGTCTACAATGAATGTTGACCTGATCTGAATATTCATATCAGGATATTGGGAGTTTTAACTGAATTATCCATTCATTCCTTCAGCAATAGTTGTTGCAGGACTGTATACAATAAATTAGAGGAAATAAACTCTTCACAAATAGATTTCATTAGGAATACAAGGAAGTGTAAGTGGTGTTGCATATTAAGGCTGATTAGTGCATCTACACACGTTCATGTAATATTCAAAACTGATAGTAGGCCTAGCTTATGGCACATTTAAGCCCCAGGCCTTATTCACTTTCATTGTATGCAAAAGAACAGTGTGAACATTCTGCTAAATATCTCCATTTGTGTTCCACAGAAACAGGAAGCCACGTGTGATTTTGATAGACATGAGGGTAAGTACATTATTTTCAGTTTCCATTTTTGAACTAGACCTTTAAAATGAATTATTATTTTTTTAATGAACTTGCTTGTGGCAGCATCCATCTTACATTTCTCTGAAAAAAAAAAACTATGCAAATGATCACAAAATTATCTCAAGAGGTTGTGGGCATCATTAGCCCATTAAGCATACACACTGGAAATTTGTCTAAATGCTAATTTAATCGCTGTGGAGAACCTCCAGGAACGGGACAGATACATAGTGCACTTTCATCTGACAAACTTCACAATTTCCCTATCCCGATCAGGCACTTTCAGCTGCAGAATAAATGAATCATGACAAATACACCTGCCAATACTTGTTATAAGTATAAACTTTATTTTAAGAAAGAAAATTCTTTAATTTGGTAATTTATTGGTAGTTGAAACTTCAATGTTGCTGTAGCAAAAGAGTTAGAACTACAACAATTAACAAATACAGTAACAAATGCATTGCTAATGGTTAGTTCGTTAATACATTAACATATTTTAACTAATGAACCTTATTGTAAAGTGTTACCATATTTTCCATTATTGTATATCCTGTTTCTCTCTGAAATATAACACATTAGAAAAGTAAAAGTGCAGATTAGAGTTTATGTTGACATATTTGGGATTCATTGGTCTCTAAGGATTTGATGAAGTTCATTTGAGGAGCTATAGATGGCGCTGTGACTCTGTGGTCAACTTCCTGAATAATGACAAGAACAACTAAAGCATGCATGACTACTGGTACTGATGACAACGGGGATTTATTTGGAGATGTCCGATCTTGCTTAATCCAAAATACAGTGATGATGTGTGAGCAGCATATGGAATATATATTAGTGTAAAACTTTTTTTTTTGTCACAAGACTATGTTGCATGTTTAATTCAGTGAGTCTAGCTAATATATTAGGAATGTTTTGTTTTTTGCATGCATTCATCTAATAACGATTGTTGGAGGACTAATTTAAATAGTCCACTTTAGACTTTGTAACTTTGCAACTACACGTTAAAGCCCTCCTCTGGTGAAAATCCAGCTTTTAATGTTGTTTATATGTGGTGTTTTTAATACGCTTTAAGGCAAACCATCTGTAAGTTCATAAGTCGACGGCATTGCTGAGTATTTTCTGCTTAAAACAAAAGACAGTCTCAAAAACACGATTTGAAATCGCTGGTGTTTCTGACATCACAAACGACCTTGTAACCAATCAGATCAACGTGTGATCGTCAACCAGTGGATCTCTGAGTGAGTGAGTGAGCGAATGGGGGCGGGGCTCATTTGCATATTCATAGATTCAAAGGTGTCAAGTTACATTCAAGCTATTTTAAGGATAAAACGATTAAATATGTCATTTTGGCGATCAAAGATGAGTTTTAAGGGATACAATTATTCACTACCGAACTTTAACTTATTCTACTAATACTCTAATGAAAATTATAGCTGCAAAAGTTACTTAGTTAATATCAAAAGTGGACTTTCAAAATAAAGTGTAACCAAAAATGGCATTTGATTTTGCTTCCAGTTCATTCGTCACATTAGACATGGAAGATCAAATTGACTACAGTATTTATAATTTCTCTCTGTGTCCTTTATGGGTCATCCAGCCATTCGGTGCAGAAATAGTATTATGCAATTCCAAACGTACCACATGTCCTTACAAGCCACAAAAAAAAAGGGAAAACAACGGTCAAGCACGTTCTCTCTCCCCTCCTGTCGCCTTGCCAAACCGTCTCATTATGGCATTGGAAGAGGACACAGAAAAGCTGTAGAAATCAAACCCAATTAATTCCGCTTGCTTCCCTTATTATTTGCACCATAGAACATGTTCCTCTAATCAGAGAGTTAACTACATCCCAAGTTCCAGATCCCTGCACAGCGTGAGGACCGAAAAACACACACAATCAATTCATTATTATCAGACCCAGCTCGCCCGAGCGAGGAAAATACAGCGCAGGCGAATGAGTTTAGCAGTGAATCACACGGTCAGTGTTGCAGTTGTTAGTTCACTGAGGAGGAAGAGCTCTTCTAAACAGTTTCAAGAGTTTATTTTCAGCTCTATACCTGAGCTAGACAGATGTGTTTTTTCACAATAGCCTATATTTAGAGAGTAGTGTGGCGAATGAACACTGCAAAAGTTATTTTACTCGGTATTTTTGTCGCGATACAAATATCTAAATATTAGTTTTGCACGGATGATCACCACGTTTTTGAATATTAGCATTTTCCCCATCAGATAAATAAAGTGTTTCATTTTAGTCACTTGTTGTTAAGTAAAGCTAAATTCCTTCAATTAAACCAGCCAGCATCCGTGTAGAAGTCCCTGAACTGACATCATTGTCAAAATGAGCACCGGTCGGCCTCTGACCTCTGACCTCTACTTCACGTTTGTCTGCCGACACTCGTCACAGGTCATCTCATGTCACAACATCACATCACTCGTACTTTATTTGATAATGAAGATTCATATATTTAGGGCTGTTTTGTAATTGTAATTGTTAGAATTTCCAAGGATCAGCATTCTCCCCTAAAAATGTCTGGGCAGACCAAACCGTAAGTCGTAGAGATTTGAAACTTTGAGGGATGGTAGTACTCACACCGTCTACAACTACACCAAATTTCGCCCAAATCGTCCTGATGGTGGCGCTACAGCGATCAAAAGTACTAAATCTCGGAATTTGGGCGATTTTGGTTGTTTAGGTCCTTGTGTACACTCTTAGAAGAAATGGTTCTATTTAGAACTAAAAATGGTTCCATCCCCCGCTTCATATATGGAACTCCAAAATGGTTCTATATAGAACCATTTTTTTTGGTAAAAGGTTCTATTGGCCAAGTATGGAACCCCAGGGTATATAGAACCCAGAGGAACCCTTTTTTTAAGAGTGTATAGAACCTTTTAGGGGTTCCAAATACATAGCGCTGATAGAACCTTTTAAGGTTCTATATAGAACCTTTTCTTTTAAGAGTGTAGTCTACCAGTCCTATGTTTTCACCCGATCTGAACTAAACCAGGGCAGAAAGGTTCTCTGGAACTGATTGTCAGTAGCGATCAAAAAAAGACGGCAAAACTCTTTGAAGTGGGCGTGGCCACTTTTACTAAAACGGCTTTCCCTCTTGAACAGAATAAGATGATTACACCAAACTCGGTACACTTATGTACGGGCTCGATCTGTGGTTGTGTGCAAAAGAACACAGCGACTGGCCACTTGGTGGCACTATAATATAAAAAAAAAACACGAAAACGGCTATAGCTACACAACCGTCAGTCCGATTGACTTGAAAACTGGCGTGCGGTGTCTTTGTCTGGTGAACGTGATTTCACCAAAAACCACATGTTCCTGGATCAACTTTCCAATCAACCAATCAGATTTGAGGAACAAGTTTACAGTTTAAGTCAGGTTTAGGCTTAGAACCAGGGCGAAGTACTTAAACATCATCACCAGGGTTAGGTTTAGGGATAGGGATTGGGTAAGGACTACATTTAGGGACAGGAATGTTGAAACAGGACCATTTCTACTTGGCAAAATCACGATGACTGTCTTTTTCACTGGTCAGTGATTTTCGAGAAAGCTGTCAGACAAGGTTAACGCAGGCCAATCGGCGTATTGTAAAGCATTATCTATTTTAAAGTGTCCTTTCATTATGGGTAGTTGTAGCACTGTGTTACAATGGAAGGGGACAAGCCTTTTTCATTCATAACTTTCTACCGCAAAATGCATGCAATTTTGTTTTTTAACCACTAGAGGGACAAAAGATACATTGTGTACCTTTAATATATCAAGCTATTTTGCTTCTCTAGTATGTTTAGATAATTGTAAATAAACAAGTAAAAAATACTGGAAGATTATTTATTTATAACATTGGCATGTTCTCTACATACTTGCTTTTTACTGTTATTCTGTCCTGCAAACTAGGATGCTTGAGCGGAACTATAGATTACAAGAAGATCTCAGTACATTCATGATTAGAAAATGTATATATAAATGGCATTAATGTTTCAAACTCTGTCATGTTATGTCGTTTGATTTAAGAGGACTGTATGTTTTGTGTCAGTGAAGCATGGAAACCGGCAGTGGGACGTGGGGCAATTAGGAGCGGTCGTAGGTGCACACACACACACACACACACACACACACCCCTGCTCTGTCCCCTGTGGAGGGCTGATGGACGGCCGGCTCATCTTCTTAACGGGCTGGCCTGGTGCCGTTAACCAAGGGCAGGCGAGGACAGGTCACTTCACCCGCAACCTAGTCAGGGCCGTCTGAACACACTCATTAATGAGGGGAAAACGCTTTTAATCACTAGTTGAGCTACAATGACTTATGTATGTGTGATAGTTAAAGGAGTAGTTCACTTTAAAAACCATGCTATCCAAGATGTCAATTTTTTCTTTCTTCAGTCAAAAAGAAATTAAGGTTTCTGATGAAAACATTCCAGGATTTTCTCCATATAATGGACTTCAATGGGGTCCAAACGGTTCAAGTTCCAAATGAGAGTTTCAGTGCAAACTGTTCAAAGGGCTTTAAACGATTCCAGACGATGAATAAGGGTCTTATCTAGCGAAACGATCACTCATTTTAAAAATAAATTGCAAAGTTTAAGTTTTATAAGCACAAATGTTCGCCTTGCTCTGCGCGTTCGTGACTCTCCTGTTCAAACTCAAAATGAACAAATCTTTTTTCGAGTCATTTGGTTGATTCAACGAACGAAATGACTCGAAAAAAGATGATGAACACCGTTTGGACCCCATTGAAGTCCATTATATGGAGAAAAATCCTGGATTGTTTTCATCAAAAACCTTCATTTCTTTTCAACTGAAGAAAGAAAGACATGGACATCTTGGATGACATGGGGGTGAGTAAATTATCAGCAAAAGTGTTTTTTAAAAGTGAACTACTCCTTTAAGAACACCCTGACTAGGTTGCAACACCTACACTGTAAATGTGTTATAAAAATAATCAAATAATCAATCAAATATCCTCCTGAAAAACTGAAATTACGTCAATAATATGATTTATCTTATGAGCATTGCATTATACGTTTTGCATTTAATTAAATTAGGTTTTGAGTGAGCTTTCTGTTTTATGAATGATAAAAGTTAACCAGTCATGCAATTTTATCATTCATCTTTATTCCAATTGTTAGTGCAAAAAAAAACGTATCTCGAAACAAAAACAAAAAAATCTAAAGACAAAACAAACATATTGACAGTTAATATGCATGTCACAATGATAAAGCTGCAACAACTCCGGCTACACATCTTTAAAGAAAACGCTATCTTCTTTGGCTTCATCGTAGTTCACAGAAATCCATAAACCGTGCTTTTATATGAACTCTATTTTATTAATGACTCTTCTTCTATATAATAAACATACCGTAGAATGCATCAAGCTTTAGTTTTGCACCATTTGCAACCATTTTAGTTCACACAGTGCATAAAAATGGATCATGATATGTATATTTTTTCACTTTGCATAGTTACAGTGTCCACAAAGTATTATGAAGCCTCGATGACTGTATCCCATCCACTTCTAGAAGAAGTGAGAAGAAATCTACTAAGACACAGCTTGTTTCTCCAAGTTGTTTGATCGATTCACTGGACATCGTTTGCACATTTAAGTGACGTGCATGCGGTTCTGACACCTGTCTGGGACGCCCATTAGTTCAGAGCAGAGGGGCAATCGATAATCTTAAACAATGAAGAGTCCCGCCGGGGAGCCGCTCTTTCCGCGTCCTCACACACACCTGCTATGACAGCAACACAATCCGCTAATGACCTCACAAAGTTTCTGTATTGAGAAATCACTGCTTAGACAGTGTGTCAAACTGTAAAGTGGTCCTTTTTTCCCTTCACTAACACTTATAAATGTGGGAATGTCAATCAGTTGTAATCAACTGGTGTTTTAGTCATCCTTTTCACTTGATCTGTTGTTTCATCACTTGCCAATTGCTTTGATTTTTACTCATCTAATGCAATGACGAAAATATTCGAAAGCATTGCAAATGCTGTTTACTTTATTTTCTGGCCGTATAATCTCTCAACATTGCTTAAAGTGGATAGGGCCAATAACTACAAAGCCATTGATGTCATATTAAAATTGGGTGTGTGTTTTAGAGTAAGCTTTGATTTAAATATGGGAGATATTTTTTTAAGACATCAAATTATGCAAAATAAACTATCAAGTTTCCACGCAGGTCATATTTTAACCCCAAAACAAAAGGAAAAATAAATGAAATTACAAATTATTAGAAATGATTTAGAAAGCTAATGTGAAAAATAATTAATTTAATATATTTTTTTTGGGGCTGTCAAACGATTAATCGCGATTAATCGCATCCAAAATAAAAGTTTGTGTTTACGTAATATATATGTGGGTGCACTGTGTATAATTATTTTAAATATATAAGTACATGTATATACTGTGTATATATTTATATATAATTTATATTATATATAAATATAAAAAATGTATATTTTAATTAGGGCTGTGCAAAAATTAATTGCGATTAATCACATCCAAAATAAAAGTCTGTGTTTACATAATATATTTGTGTGTGCTGTATATAATTATTTTGTATATATAAATACCTATGCATGCATGTATATATTTAAGAATTATTTGCGCTTATATTCTGTATATATATATATATAAATACATAATCGATATTATATAAATATAAATATTTTATATATGAATAACACATTTTCTTAAATATATACATGCATGTGTGTGTATTTATATATACAAAATAATTATATACAGCACACACAAATATACTATGTAAACACAGACTTTTATTTTGGATGGGATTAATCGCAATTAATTTTTGCACAGCCCTAATTTTAATTAAATTTTATAGATTTATATATAAATATAAACATTTTATATTTTAATTAAATTGTATATATAAATAATTAAAAATATAAAAAAAAAATTTATGTAAAAGTGCACCCACATATATTATGTAAACACAAACTTTTATTCAGGATGCGATTAATCGCGATTAATCGTTTGACAGCCGTAATTTTTATTTGATTTATTATTTAATACTATTAATATTTAATAGCAGTTAAAATAAATTGTACTGTTACTATTATATTTATATAGAATGTGCATACAGTATATATAATTTTAATTAAATACAGAATTACCGTAATGAGAATTTAAGGGGTTTAAAAACATTATAAAATAGGGCTACATTTTCTTCATCTAAAATATAATTTCTTATAAGGTTCTCTTGTTTTGGGGATGAAATAAAGCCCAGACTTTCTTCATGAAATTCACCGTTTTTGACATTTCACAACTTGTTTATATGATTGAAGAGGATTGTGGCACTGCTGAACTAAATGCAAGTGATTTAGAAATGATCTTCACACCATGGCTTGATAATGCAACTACTCATGTAACGTTACAATTCAATAAAAGACATTCAGTTCCTAGGTTTATTTGACCTGTTAAATCAAAATCAAGTGATTTCTTCTAATCGATCCCCATGGATGGTAGAATATGAATTGAACCTCTGAACAGGTATTGAGGTATCCTGAGCTGCACTGTCCGGTTAAATTAGCCAATGTGCCAAACTTGCCATTGCAAGTCCTCAATCTGGCTCAATGATCACCAGAGACGCTCGACACCGACTGAAACCCAAAATCCTAAGGAGCTTGACATCTGCACGCAAGAGGTAAGAAACTCTACAATCCCAAAATGTCCGTGCTTTGTTGCCAAATGATTTCAAATCCAACGTGCCAAGCAGGTCAGACTCCAGGTGTAATTGTTACGAAGATATCCTCAAACGTAAAGGTCATTAAATTCACATTTCTTTTAATTTTCCTCGTCGCTTCATTGCGTTTGGCTGAACCCTAATCCTAATGATCTGATGCTGATCATTCCTAAAAAACAATTTACAAAAAATGCATCATGTCCCATTGAGATCCCAATAAAATAATGTAATGTTCACCCTTTCCCCGTTACATGGGTTGCCAGGTTTTGTCCATGGACTGAATGTGCTCCTTGGCCTTCATCCTCAAAGCTGCAATGCTAGAACTGCGGTCTACGTCATCCAACGGGTATTTATCATTAAATGCTGGGGAACACTGGTAAGGAGGAGGTGGCATTGGTTGCATTCCCTGCACCATTCCTGGAGAAGAGTTCAGAAAGCCTGGGTGGCCTGTATATGCGGGCTGGAGGCTTTGGCTCGGTCCCATGAAGCCCGGGATGCTGTGCATGGAAGTGGCACTGGAGAGCGGAGAGGACAACCAGGGGTCCAGGGGTAGAGAATTACTCATGGGACCCACATTGGGAGCCATAGTGGGTCGGTTGAAGGACAGCATGGGAGAGTCGTGGAGCTTCATGCTTCCAGAGTCCATTTTTTCTTGCCGCCGCCATTTTGCACGCCGGTTCTGGAACCACACCTATACGATAAGAATTATTTAGACATGAATTCCTGGCACAGAAACTTAGTTCGACTCATCTGTCCACAGAAGACTAAGGGTGAATCCCAATTATCCGTCTTACTCCTTTTGCATTTTTACGTGAGAGTAAGGGCTCTCCCAGTTCTCCTTTTGATCGGGGAAGGGAAACTAAAAAAACTAAGGGGAAGGGGTTAAAAAAACTTTTGCTGATAATTTTTCTCTCCCCCATGTCATCCAAGATGTCCATGTCTTTCTTTCTTCAGTCGAAAAGAAATTAAGGTTTTTGATAAAAACAATCCAGGATTTTCTCCATATAATGGACTTCAATGGGGACCAAACGGTTCAAGGTCCAAAAGAGAGTTTCAGTGCAGCTTCAAAGGGCTTTAAACGACACCAGACGATGAATAAGGGTCTTATCAAGCGAAACGATCGCTCATTTAAAAAATAAATAGCAAATTTTAAAGTTTTATTAGCTCAAATGGTCGCCTTGCTGTGTACTGTGACGCGCGTTCGTGACTCTCCCGTTCGAAGTCGTTCATCAAAATGAACGAATCTTTTTTCGAGTCAATTGGTTGATTCGACGAATGAAACGAACAAATTGACTCGGAAAAAGATTTGTTCATTTTGATGAACGAGTTCGAACAGGAGAGTCACGAACGTGCATCACAGTACACAGCAAGGCGACCATTTGAGCTTATAAAACTTAAACTTTGCTATTTTTTTTTTTTAAATGAGCGCTCGTTTCACTAGATAAGACCCTTATTCATCGTCTGGAATCGTTTGAAGCCCTTTGAAGCTGCACTGAAACTCTCATTTGGACCTTGAACCGTTTGGACCCCATTGAAGTCCATTATATGGAGAAAATCCTGGAATGTTTTCATCAAAAACCTTCATTTCTTTTCGACTGAAGAAAGAAAGACATGGACATCTTGGATGACACGGGGGTGAGTAAATTATCAGCAAAAGTTTTTTTAAAAGTGAACTACTCCTTTAAATAGACTGCTGCAACTAACATTTTGTCATAACCTCTATCTAGTAAATGACGTTATTTTGTTTAGTCGTCTGTTCAGAATGGTGGGAGGATTCTCAGTTTATCCAGAACCATGTAATGCCCTATCATTACAAATAAGACCATTACAAATCACCCCAATGTCAAGGTGACAATTACATTGATCACTGCGCCTTTACAGAGTCTATCTAATACCATTAAGTGTCCCAGCTTGTATTGCCCAAAGCTTACCTGAACTCGGACTTCTGGGAGGTTGACTTTCATGGCCAGCTCTTCTCGACTGTACACATCCGGGTAGTGGGACTTCTCGAAGGCTCGTTCCAGCTCGTGCAACTGATAGGTGGTGAACGTGGTTCTGTTGCGTCTGTGTTTCTTTTTAGGTTGATCCTCATCCGGGGCATCCGGGGAACGGCTGTCACTCTCCACATTGCTCCGTGGATCTCCCAAATCTGCATCTCCACACTTCTCCGTGGAGAAAAGCCCAGTATCTACAGCACAGGAACAGATAAAACGGACTGCTGTTTATTTCAGAGGTAAAGTACATTAAAGAATTAATGTTTGCTAATGGGTTTTAATGTGGTTACTAGGGCGTTGCTAAGAAGTTGCTAGGGTTTTCTGGGTGGTTGCTACAGCATTTCAAGGTGGTTGTTTAAAAATTGCTAGAGTCTGGGAATATTTTTAGGGTGCTCTGGATGGTTGTTAGGGCGTTGCTAAGAAGTTGCTAGGTTTTCTGGGTGGTTACTACAGCATTGTTAGGTGGTTGTTTGGGTGGTTGCTAAGACATTGCTTGAATTTTCTGGGTAGTTGGTTCGGAATTTCTTGAACGTTTCTAGAATGCTGTGGATGGTTGCTAGGGCGTTGCTAAGAAGTTGATAGTGTGTTTCCCAGTGGTTGCTATGGTGTAGTTAAGAAGTTGCTATAGTGTTCTAGGTGGTTGCTGCATCATTTCTAGGTGGTTGTTTAAAAATTGCTAGAGTTTTCTGGGAATATCTAGGATGTTTTTAGGGTGCTCTGGATGGTTGTTAGGGCGTTGCTAAGAAGTTGCTAGGTTTTCTGGGTGGTTACTACAGCATTGCTAGGTGGTTGTTTGGGTGGTTGCTAAGACATTGCTTGAATTTTCTGGGTAGTTGGTTCGGAATTTCTTGAACGTTTCTAGAATGCTGTGGATGGTTGCTAGGGCGTTGCTAAGAAGTTTCTATAGTTTTTTGACTTGTTACTACAGCATTGATAGGTTGTTGCTGAGGTTTTTGGGTGGTTTCTTGAGCATTGCTAGAGTTCTCTAAATAGTTGCTACAGAATTTCTAGGATGTTGCTATACCATTCTGGCTTGTTGCTAGGGTGCTGCAAATAAGTTGCTAGGTATTTCTGAGTGATTGCTATAGATTGATACAGTTTTTATAGTGTTCTGAGAGGTTGCTACTAAGGTGCTGCTAGGTGATCACTAAGGTGTTCTAGGTGGTTGCTAGAGTGTTGCTAAGAAGTTGATGGAGTGTTTCCTAGTGGTTGCTAGGGTGTAGTTAAGAAGTTGTTATAGTGTTCTAGGGTGGTTGCTACATCATTTCTAGGTGGTTGTTTAAAAATTGCTAGAGTTTTCTGGGAGTATCTAGGACGTTTTTAGGGTGCCCTGGATGGTTGTTAGGGCGTTGCTAAGAAGTTGCTACGTTTTCTGGGTGGTTACTACAGCATTGCTAGGTGGTTGTTTGGGTGGTTGCTAAGAAATTTCTGGGTAGTTGGTTCGGAATTTCTTGGACATTTATTGGGTGTTGTGGATGGTTGCTAGGGCGTTGCTAAGAAATTTCTATAGTTTTTTGGCTAGTTACTACAGCATTGATAGGTTGTTGCTAGGGTGTTTTGGGTGGTTTCTTGAGCATTGCTAAGTAATTGCTAGAGTTCTCTAAATAGTTGCTACAGAATTTTTAGAATGTTGCTAGTCCATTCTGGCTGGTTGCTAGGGTGCTGCAAATAAGTTGCTAGGGTTTTCTGAGTGATTGCTACTCCTTTGTGGCTACTAAGTTGATAGAGTGTTCTAGGTGGTTGCTAGGGTGTTGCTAAGAAGTTGCTAGAGTGTTCTAGGTGGTTGCTAGGTCGCACATACTGTATCACACACATGACAAGCGTCGGCCAATGGTGAGCCTACGTGTGACGTACAACACAACAGCTCTGCGCTGTTACACTATGTGACCTATGAATATGAAATGAATAGAAAATAGTTGAGTAAAGTTGCTATTTTTGTTTGTTTTTTTGCACACAAAGAGTATTCTCGTCACTTTATAAACTTAAATTTGAGCCACTGTAGTCACTCGGACTATTTTAACGATGTCTTTAATAACTTTTCTGGGCCGGCAAGTTTCGATCCCTTAGGAGGAGTGATCCAGCTCTCAGATTTAATCAGAAATATCTTCATTTGTGTTCTGAAGACGGGGTTGAACAACACGAGGGAGAGTCATTACCGATTTGGGGTGAACTATCCCTTTAACCTTTCGATTTTATGAATGCCTAGAAAATAAGAGATTTGTGAGTTCCATCACTTTTGTCATGGTAAGTAAGTCTTATCAGTAATCCAAGCACGCAGATGTCACCGGTTAAACCTGTAGACCTCATGTGGCCAAGACTGCTAATCCAGCCGTTAAGAGGTTCACTCAGGACTGCAGCGTTTCGACCGGCCTGACAACAGTGGAGATTTTCATTTCTCAGAAACCGCTAAGAGCAAACACGAGCCGCATGTTGTGGTGAGACAGATCCAGGTTGAATCTAATTAAGTTGGGCAGGATTCAAACCAGTTCATTAGTTCAATGTTAAACGTTAAACTTTCATGCACCAACTACATGTCTAAGGGTTAATTAGAGTTTCATTATTTGTTATTAAGCCTGTGAAATGTATATGAATTACAATATAATATGCATGTTTAAGTTGTTTCACAAAGTGCCACTCGACGTAATTTTGTCATTAAGTTATTAATGTAATCACTAGTTACAGTGATTACCGTTAATCAGGCTTCGCACCTATAATGCTATGACAATGTAACGTTTTTTCACAGTAAATTATCCAGGATGTGGAGTAATCAATGGGATATTATTTATTAAATTAGCTTGCATAAACAGCCACTATCGTGTGTTAAGAAATAACTAACAGAAGTAATCAGTCTTTCTTTTCTAATTCAAATTAGACTGATTTTATTGTACAACAAAACTGATTTTTAAAAGTTACCAGTCTTGAAGGAAAAGGACTAGTCTAAGCAGTTTATGCAAACGACCACCGGTCACAAACAAAACTAACCATTCACACTATTTACAGTGATTGCTATTGCAAAATATTAATAATAAACGATTTTTATCTAAAGTTTTGACAATAATCCAAGTGGTCAGAAAATATTTATCTGACTTAAATTATTTGTTTTCTAAATCATGCATCACTATTGCTTGTTTTCAGGATTAGAAATCGGAAAAAAACCTGCAAGCATTCATGGTGTGCACTTTGTCTTGTACGGTATGAGTGATTCCAGGTGTGCTGTTACATTACTAAGTTATTAAGTCATCAGACTTTAAACAGGTGAAAGAAATCCCATCAAAAAGCGACTGAAGTTAAATCTAGATCACATGGACTTGCAGGACTCTTTTCATGCAAGAGAAACCCTTTTCATAAAATGTTGTCGACTTTATGCACACAAATGCACATTTTCACAGCAATAGATAAGTTAATAAATAAATATGTTATTGAAATATACACTGACAAGTTGTAATTCCAAAACCTGCACTTTTTGCATGCATTCTGTCTCACTCTTAGAACTAAAGGTCCTGTGGGGTTCTATGTAGAACTCTAGGGTTCTTGACTAGATTTGAAAAAGAACCATTTGGCAGTTATATCAAAAAGGTTCTAGAAACGTCTTAAAAGTTGGTGTAATACGTTAATGTTTAATTTCTTCTTGTGATAAAGTATTTATAATTCATGAAAACACAAATTAAATAATTAAAATGTATTTAAAACTTTAATTAATAAAAATTATATCCATAAAATGATCCAATTATGGAAAGCCCTAAAAGATTTTACAGTATATGAAGCACCTGGCAGAGCCCTTAAGGTTCCATATATATATATATATATATAATAATTTAAAAAATTGCTATTTTATACAGGTGAAACTCAAAAAGTTCATTTATTTCAGTAATTCAACTTAAAAGGTGAAACTATTATATAGACTCATTACATGCAAAGTGAGATATTTCAAGCCTTTATTTGTTATAATTGTGATGATTATGGCTTACAGATATGAAAACCTTTTCACAGTATTCTAATTTTGAATTTGGGATTTTCATATCTGTAAACCATAATCATCAAAATTATAACTTATAAAGGCTTGAAATATCTCACTTTGCATGTAATGAGTCTATATAATATATTAGTTTCACCTTTTAGGTTGAATTACTGAAATAAATTAACTTTTGCACAATATTTTAATTTGTCGAGTTTCACCGTATATATAAATAGCAATACAATTATTTTATATAAAATTATTTTTGTGCATATATATTCACATTTATGTGTGTGTGTGTGTATATATATATATATATATATATATACAGCTGTAATCATAATTATTCAACCCTCATTGCAAATCAGGTTTATTTGCAGAATTTGCAGTCTTTTGCAATGAACAAATCACAAAACAAATGTTTTAAGTCGCTTCCCCGATTTTAACTCAAATATATTTACACACACACACACACACATATATATATATATATACACACTCTAAAAAATGCTGGGTTGTTTCAACCCAAATTTGGGTCAAATATGGACAAACCCAAATGTTGCGTTAAAAATCTAATTTAAAAATTTACAGTTGAAATTGAAAGTTGAAGATTTGAAATGACATTTTTAACCCAAAATTTGGGTTTGTCCATGTTTGACCCAAATTTGGGTTAAAACAACCCAGTATTGTTTAGAGTGTATATACTTTTCTTATTTTTTTTTTTTGCTTGGTCCTTGATCCTGTCCCTGTCGTTGAGTAAGCCAACAGATTCTCACCGTGATACGCTGACTGCTGTGAGCTGTCCGGAAGACTTTGCAGGTGACCGTAGGGGTCAGAGGTCACTTGTTTCTCCTGTTCTCCCAGGTCCACTCCATCTACTTTGTGTGTGTCGCCAGGCCCGACCGGGTTGAGCAGAGGATCCTGGTCTTTACTGAAGCCCAGAATCACGTCGATGCTGTGAACGCGGCCTGCCATGCCCGAGGCGCCACCTTTACCCAGGTCGTGATAGTTGTCCGACGAGAGGCAGCCATCGTCCACCATGTTCATCGTATCCAGTGACAAATGCATCCAATCTGCCCTTACGGTAAGTCTCCTCGGGGGAAACACGTGCAAATTATGTCCAAAAGACGATCCGGTACCAATATGTCAGAGAGATAATCTATCAAAGATCTGTGCAAGAAAAGCAGAGGTTAATGAGACATTAAAGATGTCAACAATTTCTGACAGTGTTTGGAAAATCAGGTGGTGTTATAAAAGATATGATTCATCTTATCAAATATAATATATGCATGATGCATCCACTGGAGAAAATAATATAATCTTAGTCTGTTGCATAGAAACTCTCAACAAAGTCTCATTCTGTTCTGGTTGAGAACAACTCAAACATTTCTTGTCAAATTACAATATCTGATCCGCCATCCACGTTCATCTCACAGCTCTTTACTCTCTAAAAAATGCTGGGTTGTTTTAACCCATCTTTGGGTCAAATATGGACAAACTCAGCCATTGGATTACATGTTTAAATGCTGTAAACCCTAACGGTCAAAATAATTAATTGGGTTGAGTAGGACAAACTTAAATTCAACGAATTAGTTCAGTTAAATTAATTTTTATGAGTATTTAGCACTTTCTTTTTCTTTCAAGTTCACAGAACGGATATTTTTTTAAGTAAACTGAACTGTTTCATTGTTTTGAGTTTTATGAAATTATTTATTTTAATTTAGACGAACTTAAGTTTAACTGAAACGGCTGGGATATCTATTTCCCAGCCTGCTTTGCTGATGGCACTCGAAAGAGAGTGTAAATGCTAGGTAATTATACCTTTATATTACTACGCTCATACAGCAAGTACTTCTGTGCTTGTAAGTGCTTATAACATCATGTTTCTAATATGTTAGCATTTACTACGTCAGCAGATTAGCTTTTAAAGCTAACTAAGTTTATACTATTAAAAGTGATTTGAGTTCTGCCAACTTATTCGGGTTTACAGTGTATTACATAGATTTAAGTTATAGTAGCTAATTAGTACTATTAACTTTATTTACCCAAGTTATCTTAACAATGAGTTATTGAGTTAGTTGGAAACAAATCAAATATTTTTTTATGCCAACATTTGGGTTTGTCCATATTTGACCCAAATTTGGGTTAAAACAACCCAGCATTGTTTAGAGTGTAGTCTTAATGGACGACTAACTACTTATTTGTCCTCTGTGTTTGAGGTATGCATCTTTAATAATCTTTGAAAATAATGTCTTATATCTTGTACTGCATCTCTAAAAAAATGCTGGGTTGTTTTAACCCAAATTTGGGTCAAATATGGACAAACCTAGCCATTGGGTTAAATTTTGTAATTGCATTTTTAACCCAATGTTTGGATTTGTCTGGGTTAAAACAACCCAGCATTTTTAGAGTGTGTGTATTACATGTATTATTTGTTGTTGTATAGGTATTATATATTTCTATTAATTTGAAAAATAATGCCTATACACTCTAAAAAATGCTGGGTTGTTTGTCAGATATGGACAAACCCAAATGTTGGGTTAAAAATGCAATTAAAAAATTTAAAGTTGAAGTTGGGTTCATTTGAAATGACATTTTTAACACAACTTTTGGGTTTGTGCATATTTGACCCAACATTTGGGTTCAAACAACCCAGCATTGTTTAAGTATTAATATCCTGCTCAAACAGTTATGCATCTTTTGCATGATGATAGTTTTCTTTCTTTTCTTTTATTCAATTGGTAAATCTGCGGCTCTGTCCATTTGTGTTTTACATGCCTCAATAGAGTTCAGATGCTTTATTCTCCTGCTTTGAAAAGTTACAAACAATGTTAGAAAATGACAAAGACACATTGTGCACGAGATCATTGTCTTTATATGCCTTTGTTCTCATCCATCCCCACTTTATTGACAGTGAATGAATCCTTATTATGAGGTTCATTTGCACAAATTGAATTTCTATTGAAATAGTTTCGATCCACACACTCTTAGAAGAAAAGGTTCTATATAGAACCTTAAAAGGTTCTATCAGCGCTACGTATTTGGAACCCCTAAAAGGTTCTATACACTATTAAAAAAAGGGTTCCTCTGGGTTCTATATACCATGGGGTTCCATACTTGGCCAATAGAACCTTTTACCCCAAAAAAATTCCATATATGAAGCGGTGGATGGAACCATTTCTGGTTCTAAATAGAACCATTTCTTCTAAGAGTGAGAAATTTGCTACTTGTGTTTCAAGCAATGTACATAATCAGTCAGAAGATAAGAGAGTTTATAAAGTAGTAATTTTCCATCAACCAAAAGCATGCATCATGTATTAAATCTTAATGTATGCAAATTCAGTTATCTTTGTAACGAAGTAGTAATGCTACTTTTTTTTGTCTTATGGATATTTCAAATTTAAATTCACAGTTTACAAAATAAAAGTAAGATGAAGACTAAACTTTAATCAAAATTTTGGTTCATCAGAATCATGCAGGCCTATTCAACCCTCATTATAGAGCTTGCATTGGCAAGTTTTATAATTTTGTAGAATTTTAGAAATTTCTGAAAAGTTTTCTTGGCAGTTATGCTATTTAATATGAAATTTATGTAATGCATATAGACTTTCAATCAGATAATTAATATATAAACAGGCAGTGCAATCAACCAAAAGTACTGTATGTAGAAAATGTATGTATTAAATATACAAATAGAATTAAATAATTGCTTAGTTTCACCTAAAAATGATGCATTTTAAAGGTAAATTCAATTTGAAATGAATCCAGGAAGTTTTAAATCATAAAAACGCACCTTTTTCTTCGACTTTATGGCTCATCAGAGTAACGCAAGGTTGTTGCTTCCAAGCATCCCAGCAAATGTAGACCACAACTTTTTACCCACAGTGCACCTTGTTAATATGGTGCCGTAAAATAACCGTTAACGGCTCCCAAAAGTGAGGCGAAATTCCGCAGCACTCAGATATATCCCATTCCCAGAGCATATGGAGGTCTTGATCTTTAGGATGAAGCCATGAAAACTGGCCTGACGTGCAGAGAGCCGGTGGCGAGAGGAAAAGACTTAAGAGGTTTAATAATGGGAATCCTTCCCCTTTAAGGATGATTGACAGGTGTTCTCTGCTGGGTAATTGCACTAAACGCTGGCTGTGGTTCGGCCACAGAGGGAGGTCTGCGCTAATGAAGCACCGACAGAACCTCCTTTCAACACTCTTTTGTCTAAATGATAATGGCGACCTACTGAAAGTGTCCTTTAATCCCAAACTTAACAAAGACGACACACCATGTATTAAGATGTGTTTTTCTTGTGCAGCCAAATGCCTTCAGTGCTTCACAGAAATGATCAACATAAACAGGTGTACGTGGAGACAAAGTGTCGCATTGCTGACAACACACACAGGTCATTTTTTACAACAGTGTAAGTCAGTGTATTGTTGACACACATATCTCAACAAATATAATCTAATTCAGTGTGACATTCAAACAAGCGTCTTTCTTGCAATAAAATGTATATATATACACTGCAAAAATATCCGTGATTTTAACAGTAAAAGACTGTAAAAATGCTACAGTGCAAAACTGTTAATTGGTTAACAGAAAGTTTCCGTACTTTATACGGTAAATAACTGTGATATCATTTTTACAGTAAAATACCGTTAAATTTACAGTTTTTGAAAGTGAAAAAGAACAAATCGCTGTATAATTTACAGTGAAAAACCGTAAATTGACATTCCCACAATTCCCTGTGTGACACTTCACATTTGATGTATTTTTGTTAAAATAACTATAGTTCCTCATAGTTTTATTGTTTATTTCTAATCCGTTATGTACATTAGGGTTTTATGTTACATTTAATGTTGTTAAATGAATGTTTATTGCATTTTTTAATTTTATGTGTGTTACCATGATGGTGTTTAATGTTTGTGTGAATGACACTGTGCAGCTTCTTTATATAAGTATTACTTAAATAAGTAATCACTTGTGATGAGCTGTGATTGCTCAAGTAACTCTCATCTCTGCTGTGATGATTGATGGTTGTCAGTGTATTACAATGATCTAAAACAGATATCAATAAGTTGGTAAGTCAATATTTTATCAGAAAATAAAATATGGTTTATTACTGTAAATTTTAAGTTAAGTCTGTAAAACCATTAACGTTTCTACCGTATTTTTAACTGTAAAGTTCTGGCAACCACAGCTGCCGTTTTTTTACCGTAAAATTTACGGTTTATATTTTACAGTGTATATATATATATATATGCACACACATAATTGTATATACAAATACTTTTATTGCTATTTATATATATATATATATATATATACTCAAAAACATGCGGGGTTGTTTTAATCAAATATGGGCAAACACAAACGTTGGATTAAACAGAATGAGAACATGGATCCATCATGCCTTGTTACCACTGTGCAGGCTGGTGGTGGTGGTGTAATGGTGTGGGGGATGTTTTACACAAAGCTCTTAAAAAAAACATTTTAAATAGTAAAAACAATTTCATTTCTAAAAGACAGGTCTGTAATCATCTATGAATTTCATGTCATTTTGGGAGTAAACAAAATCCATTGTCGAACAATGTTGCCATGGCAACGCACCCAAAAGTACCCCACCCCCCCCAAATAAATTTTTTTTTTAAATATGTTAATTTGAGTCTATTTTATATATATAATAAATAAAACATGATAACATTTTTTTTCCATGATTGCATAATAATGCGTGCTGTAGAGGGTTAAGGCTTACTTTAATATAAACAGATGAGTTATATGCCCCCTCAGAGTTTTCATGAAGGGCAAAATGAGCTATATAGACCAAAAACACTTTTTGAGCCAGGCTGTAAACATATTTTTTCTACTGTAAATTTGGGCAGTTTAACATGGAGGTCTATGGGATTGACTCTCTTTTGGAGCCGGTCTCTAGTGGCCAGTCGATGAATTGCAGTTTAAGTCACTTCAGTGTTAGATTCAAGAGAGAGACACGAAGGTTTGCCGCTTGATTTGAATGGTATATATATATAAAAAAATCAGACATTATTGTAAATATACACTCCATTGAACAATTCAAATTTCTATAAACTCTTAACTTATGGAGTTCTCAATATGAAAAGATTCATCACTGACGTTCTCGACTCAAAGTTGGAACTTATCTGGATGATAAATTGACTGACAGATTGGCCTTAATTACTCTAAACTGACCCATTAGACTCGGCACTGACCTCATCAAACGATGCCATGCTTGACCTTAAATTGGCAAACAAACTGCTCAGACTCTTCATTAATTGTTTTAAACGTGTCTTTCCCATGTTAACAGTGGTTCAGTATGGGAACGTCTCGGATGCAATGGCTTGTTTTAAGCCAGTTGGCCCGGTTAACACTCCTGAGACTGACTGGCACAGAGATCAACCCTCGTCTTAATGAGACTACTGAATCTTCTGGAGATTTCCCCGGCTTTAATAAAAGTTTAAGAAGCCTTGGATGACCAATTAGGATCACTAGAATGAAGGACGGGATAATACACAATATAAAACCACACCGATGAATATATTAAGGTAAGAATCACTAAATAATCTGATCTGAAATACTGAACTTTGCTCACAAGACAAATATTATTCATAAATGCTTTAATGTTGTAATTTCATATGATTCATTTGCAACACAACACTACAATACGGTTCAATTTGTTAACGTTTGTAAACCTCAAGTTATCATGAATTAACAATGTAAAACAATTAAAAAATATATATTTTTATTATTTTCTTAAAATCAAAAGCTGTATCTGTTAATATTGTTTAATGGACTTGATCTAACTTGAACTAACAATGAACAGCTGTATTTTTTTATTAACTAACATTAACAAAGTTAGTTAATATTTAATGCATTAATGTTGACCATGGGACCTTATTGTAAAGTCTATGTTACCATTTACATTTTTTTCTCTTTAAAATATTATTAAAAATGAATTTGTGAAAGATTTTGAGCACATAGCACACACTGTAAAAAAATATTGTTGATTTAACTTAAAAAAGTAAGTAACCTGGGTTGCCTTAAAATTTTAAGTTCATTGAACTGGAAAAAGTGAGTTAATACAATGAAGGAGATTAATTTAACCATCAGAAACTCAAAATTATATGTTATCTGAACTAAATAAATTATTTAAGTTGATTTGACAAAGGAAAAAATGTTGTGATTACTACACTGTAAAAAAATATTGTTGATTTAACTTAAAAAAGTAAGTAACATGGGTTGCCTTCAAATTTTAAGTTGATTGAACTGGAAAAAGTGAGTTAATACAATGAAGGAGATTAATTTAACCATCAGAAACTCAAAATAATAAGTTATCTCAACTAAATAAATTATTATAAAGTTGATTTGACAAAAGAAAATATGTTGTGATAACAAATCTTGAAAATATTTTTTTACAGTGCAGTTGTGCTTGGAGTCAATTGGTTTATAATGCAATAAAACATGCCAAATTGTGACATCCTTTTTGGCCATGCAGGCTGCCATACAAAGAAATTATGAACAAAATATTTAGCCAGGTAAATACCTTAACCAAGTTTAGTGCTTTTCCTTCCCTCATATTTTTAAAAAGTAATATTTTCCTCCTATTTCGTCATAAATCAAATGAATATCCCCTCCGGACAGGACTTTTGGCCACTACACTCTTAGAAGAAATGGTTCTAGAACCAGAAATGGTTCCATCCCCCGCTTCATATATGGAATTCCAAAATGGTTCTATATAGAACCATTTTTTTTGGTAAAAGGTTCTATTGGCCAAGTATGGAACCCCAGGGTTCTATATAGAACCCAGAGGAAGCCTTTTTTAAGAGTGTATAGAACCTTTTGGTTCCAAATACGCAGCGCTGATATAGAACCTTTTCTTCTAAGAGTGTACATGTACATTGAGCTTGATTGCAGGTTTTGTGATGCGTGCAGGACGATCAGTGGTAACACACACTGACAGCGCCCACTTAATGGACCCTGAGCCTTTGACCTCAGCTTAAAAAACAGGAGGCAAAAGACACGAATGGTTTACTTCCGTTCCAGCGCTCGAGTCTAAACAAGTCTGACTTCATGTGATTGTGTCTTTGGGTTGCAGTACAAATGTAGTAGTTCATTTTCCAGACGAGCCAATTACAGACTTTACAATGATCAACTCTAGGATTTTCGGACAAAACCCAGTAGGTCTCTCTCTTGTAGTGGGATTGTCTTATAAATAAGGCTTTTGGGCCATCTGGGCATCAGTGAAAGGCCTCTAATGCCAAACTACACACACAGGACATGAAGTCACAGCTTCTGCTGGTGTCAAATTGATTCATTATTGTATTGTTTACACTGTAAAAATGAATACACTATATCTTGTCAATAAAATTGTGGCAGCAGATTAAATGCAATATTATTAATTCAATTTAACAAATTAGAATTGAGTAATAATTAATTAAAAATGAGTCAAATTTACACAAAAAAATAAACAAAAATATCTGAATAACAGACAGTTGTCAAAGATGAATTAAGAACTCTTGATTTTAGATTGCCAACATTGAAGACGCCTGATGTTAACATACATTATGATGCTCAGTGTGCATTTTTGCATTTGGCAGATTCATTTATTCAAAGCAACATTACATTTAATATACACAGTGTTATAATATCAGTTCAGCTCATGCATTCTTATAATGCATTTTTAAATTGTACATTTAATCATTGTGATATGTTTGGTCTTTCTTTTGTTTAATGCATTTCTCCTCTTTTTTTGCATTGGACAAAATGCAATTCTGCATTTCTATAATGTTTTTCATTTATTTCAGGTTTTGTTTTACAATAAATGTTGTTTTACAATAAATGAACTACATTTCACACTTTAAAAAACATAAAGTTTAAAAACAAAGTTTTTTTATGCTTAGAACATGAACAAATATCTGCCAATGGGGTCAAAAAAATAATGTTGTTTTCCCTTTGAATTAAGATTATTTTTTTGACAGATATTTTATTCTTGTAGGATAAATTAACTTAACTTAGATTTTTTTTTCTTCTCAGAAAACAAAAC